AGCCTTACATACTCTGTTTTTCATTTTTTTTTCCACTCCTTTTATTTATTACTTTAAGCAAGAGAGGATGAACTAGGTCCTTCATCCTCTCTTTTATCAGTTTTTCAAGCAGTTTAATCAAGTGAAAACAGTGTGAAAATAACAACCTCCTTCTAGTCGCAATCGTTTTCGTTTCTTTTTTGTCTTTCCGTATTTATTCGATTAACCGCCCTGGGCCCAGTTGTTCGAAGGCTGATTAGCGCTTAACCCGGGGTTAAAGTTAACCCTGGTTTCTTTTTCTTGTGCTCAAAAGCATTTTCTCGGAGAATTTTATCTGTTATTTTTAGAGCCGTCCCTGAAATGGCGCTTTCAAATCTGAATTCAAATCTCGCACTAACCCTGGGTTATCTTAACCCAGCTTTGAACAACTCGGCCCTGGGCGCTTATTAAATTTTTGGATCTTGAGAGTGGGCTCTTATTCGAGGTTGGGCGCTTATCAAATATTCACCATTTTCAGCAAGTGTAGTATGTTTATTTTGCAACAAAACAATAAATGGTAATGACAAAACTCGAAGATGTAACAGAGCAAGGTTTCTGTAAAATACTCCGAAGAAGACTCCGTCTTCGTGGAAGTCTCTTATTAGTACTTATTCAATTTCAATTTCACACATGGACATTGGAGTTGAAACTTTGAGGAAAATTCCAACATTCTCGTAGACAATGAATCTAGAGAATGTAGCCAGTCGAATAAATAATAATCAATACTACACTTTTAGTGGGGTGGGTTGAGGGTGGGCGCTCATTCGAGGCTGGGCGCTGATTAACTTTTTCTGCCTTTAGGGTGAGCGCTTATTCGAGGTGGGCGCTAATTCGAGGTTGGTCGCTTACTCGAATAAATACGGTATCCTGATCATGACTTCTTCTGGCAACATTCCGCAAGGGAATGGAATTTCTGACGTTTTCCTTGTCGTACAATAACTAAAGTACCTCTTAAAATGTGTGTATGATAGAAGACATGATATATTAGCGGATTCCGTTGTGGTCTCCATGGTTCCTTCTACACTTTTGACCACTCAAGGGCTTAATTCATGGCACATTCAATTCGTTCAGTGCTGTCTTCGTCCCCTACTCGCAGCCCCCCACCCCTTCTTTGTCTCTTTCTCGCCGGGTGGAGCTCCTACGGTAAAATTCTCCCTTACACGTATATTTCTTTACTTAACGTCTTTCCTGCAAGCTTATGGCATTCCACAACCTTCAGTCTCACCAAAGAGGTCTCTGAAGAGGACAGAGGAGTTGTTCCTTTCAATAGGACAATACAAAGCGATTGGTATTTACTGACATTTCAGAAACACTTCAGAGACATTCACTTGGAGATACCAATATCCCTAGTCACGGTGGGGCTGCGTCTAAAACATAATAAAAGCGACATTTTTCACATTTTTCATTTTTTGCTTTAACGGCACCGGCTGGGGACATTTAGAGCTTTAGTGGAAGTGGCATTTTTGGATATACGTACTCATCGCTTTACCGAGTCAGTCCTAGTGGGTGGTAGAGTGGCCGGACGATTTTTATCGGTCTATGGCTACCCCGGTCGATTCTTGTCGAAAATCCCACTCGCGCTGTGTGCAGCCAAAGTTTTACTTAGTTGCCGCAATCGATATAGAAGCAAGTTATATTACCAAGCTAATATGATGTGGTAGTATCCCTAGTACCCTGCCCCCGTACTACACGGAAGAGGTCGAAAAGAGGCCACCGCAAGCATGTCTCATGATCAACGAAAATTATGCAATATTGTTAAAACTTCTCAAAAGACGACAAGCTGAACTAATGAAAAAAAAAAAGGTAAAAATGAGTAAAAATTTTGGAAACTTCTGAAAAATGGTTGCTAGTATAACTTAGGCCCGTTTCAAACGTCGTGCTACTGCCGTGCCGAAGTAAATTGATCGAATTAAATTCGATTGCCGTGCTACACTGCAGCAGCTCGACTTGGTCTCAAACGTCGCGCTACTGCCGTGCCGAACTCAATTCATAAATTATGAATGGCTGAGAATACATATGAAAGTTTTCTAAATCGTCTCTTTATTTTTGTGCTTTGTGTTTTTCGGCAACAGCCGTTCTAATTCGACGTCTGAAACCAAGTCGTGCTAGTGTCGTGCTGCAGTCGAGCTACAGTCGAGCCAGGTTAGTACGGCAGTAGCACGACGTTTGAAACAGGCCTTAACCCTCGAACCTAGCTAATTAGCACCGAAAATTCAATTTTCTTCCGGCCTTACAATGCATGGCCGTATACTTCCGTAAGAGCTCCTGACGAAAGTAGACCTTCTTATTTAAAAAAATGTAAGACTTTCGACTTCGGTTACATTTTTATCGGCAAAATTTCCTTAGGTTCTTTGACTAGTTTTTATTCTACTGATATTATATTCCAACATCCCAGTTGCACGATAAACTTCGATATTGCCCCCTCAGGATGAGGCTGTCAGCTAAAATATTTCCGACCTTAAAAAGCCCAAAATACGTTCTGAACTAACTGCTCATGACAACGTCGAATGCTAAGAGTCGAGTACGCGGATGTTGTGGAGAAATCGGAAAACCAGATCGAAGAATTCGGATACATTACGTCAGTAGGGATAAATCATAAGGATCCGTGGACTAGAAAATCATTAGCAAACAAATACCAACAGCAAAGAAACAAAGAAACAAAATAAATTAAAATAATGATGGACAATATACAACGCCCAATATTCCTGTTTTTATTATTAAGTCTGTTGCCTTTTTTGGAATTTTTACGTGCCTGTCACTGGTTCTCAAATACAGTGTACTTTCTCAACAACTTCCGTTTCTATTTATCGAGCGTTTAACGCTTTTAACCCTCATCAAGAATTGTGACTTCCTTTCGGCATTCCATAAATGCCAAGATCAGACCGGTTTTTCTACTAATTGAAGGAAATGGTTAACTTGCCGCTTTAATTCTTGGTTTCTGGTTTGATCCCGTCTGGGATAAGTTTCATGTACGATTTCAGCTAGCCCTGCTGATATTGATAAATATACAACCGTCTGAAACTAAAAAGAAACTGTTAAATGATCAAAATTAACATCTGAGCTGAGGGTCGAATAAAGCGAGTTCGCACACTCTCTCACGCGCACGAACCTCACGCTCTTGTTTTTCCTTTCGCTTACAAGTAGAAATGAAGCAATTTTCTAGTAGTGAATTCTTAATTTGTTTTCTGATATTCTATTTTTTTTCCCTAAACTTTTGGAATTACGAGCAATAAAACTATTCGCTGAGCAAGAGCTCAATGCAAGCCTGTAATATTCTAGAGCCGGCACATGATACTAAATCCGGAGGGGTATAATTTGAAAATGTTTGCGCCGGGTTTTTCTTAAGGGGCCCTGGAATCCCCAACCCGTCAAAGACAACAAAAATGTAAGTTTTTCACCCCATTACAGATTTGGGAGTTCAATAGACGACGAGTAGTTTCTCCCATTTGTTAGTCCTTCGAGCGAAACGCGCGAGACAGCCGCGTGCACGCCGATGCCCAGGAAAAGAGAGACTGCTCTCAGTATACGAGCTATGAGTAAAACACTAAAACAGGTAAAGTTAGATTTGTTTGAATGACCCTGTCTCAGACTAAAAAGGTCAAAATTGTTATCTCATCACATACATGGAAGGCCTGGCGGCTGAAAACTGGGAACCCATATAGCAGCAAAAGCCGTTTACCGTATAAAAGGTAGCTCCCCCCCCGCCCTCTCAACCACGCCTTGGGTACCAAAGCCACCTGCTCCGGGCTTATATTGGGCTTGGGAGCCGAGGCAGGAGTGTCAGAATATCGTGGTGGGTAAACCAAAGCTATAAATTACTATGGAACTAAAAATCCATCATGATAGAATGCTTACAGTTACAAAATCACGCGATTGAGTAACTCGTGCTCTTTGGCATGCAATGGGGCATTTATTGTAAAATATTAATAGCTAAGACAAGCAAAGGAACATTTCGACAATTTTGCAAAATATTCCATCTGAAATATCAAAAATTGCGTATTAAAGACTCACAGGAAAGCCCTGTTCAACATTTTAAATTTCGATCGAATGGTCACGCTATCGGGCAAAATTATTAAAATCAAAGACCATCAGATTAGTTAGTTAACCAGGGCAAGTTGAAATTACGTCGACAGTTTAGCTGAGTTAAATGCTGTTTATTTGTCCCAATCTTACTCAAGATATAGCTCTACTAAATTCGCGTGACTTACAGCACCCTTTTAGACTGGCATCCTAGTTTTATACAGGATCTTTTAACACCTTAAGTGTTTTAATCCATTCATCCGTGCAAATATGCTTGAGCGATCAAGGCCAGCAGACTTTGTTATTACAAAAATTTGCCAGTGAAACATAAACCTGTGACGGAATGATTCATAAGCAAGATCTCCATGAAATGAAGGAATATAAATTCCAAGAGAGGGATTCTGTAGACCCCAGGGTCGTCGTAATGTTTTGTCGCCAAGCTTCAAATAGCATTTTTGTCTCCAGAGCAGAGCGGAATTGCATTTGGACTACCTTCCCTTAGATACACCTTCAAAATAAGCTTTCTTTTTGAAATTTGAGAATTTGATGGAAATACCACAGGTGCCTTCTTACAAATTTAAGGTTGCGTCCCGCGATTTTATTTCCCGCGGAACAAACTAACTCTTTTCTGATTCATGAGACCATGAAAATATTATGGTAATGTTTTCATAGTCTCTTGAATCAGAAAAGAGTTAGTTTGTTCCGCGGGAGATAAAATCGCGGGACGCAACCTTAAATTTGTATACCGTCATGATCACTTTACTTCCATCAATACCATATATAGATGGTGGGAACAGAGTATTCAATGAACCGAGATGATTCACTTGTTGTCTGCGACCAATAAACACCAAGACCCATAAAACCATAAAATTTCACGTTCAAGTTGCGAGAACACGCGAGGCGTTTTTCATCATTTCACCCCATTTCCAACCCACAATTCCTCGGATCTTGTGAGTTGACGTCATCAAGGGGAACGGTTTGTAATATTTCACTGTGAAGTTTCGAGACGTAAACTTATAGCTTTGGCTTGATTGAGCCGGCTTTTCTCTTGTTTCGTCGATAGATTTCTAGAAGAGTAAATTTTCTGTGGTATTGTGTTTGAAATATCTTGCCGTCCTTATGCGACAGCCGGGAATGAGTATTTCTACGGGCGACAAGGAATTGGAATTCGCCGACCCGAAGGAAGAGGCGAAATACTGGAAACAATTTGCTGAAGACTTGGAGCGAAAGTGAGTGGTTTAAGGACCGTGTTCTTTTTTGTTAGTTGTGCTGTTAAAGAATGGAAGAATGAAGTTTTAATTTTAACGTCTTTTTCTGGGAAAAGGTTGCAAGAAGCAAGAGATGAACTCGATGAGTTTCAAGAAGGTAGTCGCGAACTAGAAGCAGAGTTGGAAATGCAGTTGGAGCAAGCCGAAGCCAGACAGCGAGAGCTTTTAGCTGCCAAAACCCGGCTAGAGACGGAAAACGAAAACTTGAAGGTAAATGGGAAAACATCGACGAAAATTTCTTAGGTTTTTTTCGCCCTGTTGTTTAAGTTAGAGTTTGTAAATAATGCAAGACTTGCTTGCGTACGCCGACAGCCATGTTTTTATCAGGTTCTTGATAATTTGTCGTTTGACCTAATGTTGAAATTAAAATATTCTCGTCTCTTTTTCTCTTAGGCGCGACTAGATGCCAGCCAGAATGAATCCTACTTAACGATATCATCGCTACAAGATGAGGTTGCTCAACTTAAAGCTGTGCGGGAGGAAGTGCAAAAATACGTTCGGGAACTCGAGCAAGCGAACGACGATCTTGAGCGAGCGAAAAGGTGAATTACCAACTTTAGACGTAACATTTATTTCTTTTCGTAAGAATCATCGCGAAGTGGTCTATTTATTTCCATTTCTTTAATCATTTAACTTACAAGCTAATAATATTTTCGCCTTGTTAATTGCGTTTGGATGTTGTGCTGTCTTGCTCAAATTACTAAATTTCGATACGTTGTTATAGACTGCAATATTTATTACAAGCTGCGATATTGAGTCAGAGAAACTGAATCATTTGGGGAGTTAAAACATTACGACAGATTGTTCTGTTTATTAACATAATTTTGTTTAAATATTATGGGTCATATTTAAGTCTTGCCGTGTGCAAAGTACAATTCAGGCATGTGACATTCTCGCATTGTTGATCAGCGAAGAAGGAAATATTTTCTAACCTTGTCGTGGTATCGATTTCTGTTAGTACATGTACTGGATTTTAATTGTGTTCACGTTTACAGATCAGAGCCTCCTAATCTCACCGATAAAAAATACTTTGATGTTGCAACAAATCCTGGGGAGCAAAACCGTTTTGCTTTTCTATCTGTAAAAGAGTGGATTGCTTAAACTTGTAACTGCTTTGCATGAATTGCTTTGCTTAGACTAATAAAATATGTTGATTTGATCTTATTGTATTGCAAAGAATGTGCTTGTGTTCTTATGTTGCCGGTCTATTATAAACCATAAAGTAGAGTGCTCACTTTTATGTTGGACCTACCTTGTCAAAATAGAACTGTAGTTAAATTTAACATTTTAAGTATTTCTAGTTGTAAAGATGGGAATTTTAAATGTTATCACTGGAGGATAAATAATCTTTTAATTCAATTTAATTCCTTTTGTGTTTTTTAAAAGGATGAATTCAAAATATTTCCATGGAAGTTAAATTTAAAGAAGTATGGCTGCCTTTGTGCGACCTAATTAGCACACTGGGATAATAAAGGAAAGAAAAGCATTCACTGTACCATGACAGTTGATGCACCTTTTCATATAATTTTAAGTTTCTTTAAACTACTTTGATCAGATAGAATAGGCTTTGCAAAGCTTGTTTTAATCAGAAATGGCAGACTTTGCATTTTAGCAAGGCTCTTTCATTCCAGCTTGGGTCAAAAGGGTGGGACACCTGTTGAGCTTGTGGAAAACAATCTTTGTGTTGATGTCTCACCCTACTGGGAGGAATCTTTTACTTTTAATTTAAGCATAACTGGTCACTTGAATGTTTGAAGAAAGGGGATTACTTAATTAGCAACTCCATGTAGTATTTTCTGAAATTACAGTTTGCTGGAATAAAGTTCTGTCTGCTGTTATCTTGATTTAAAATTTAATCAAAAATCAAAGTGAGGCTGGCGCTGTTTTTTTCTTGTTGAGTAAAATAAATGGTTACCTTTACTGTTTGCATTTCAGGGCAACAGTTTGCTCCCTTGAGGACTTTGAGCAGAAGCTAAATCAGGTGCGTTTCATATTTAGTTTGATTGAATATTCTCTTGTGCTGTTGTTACTTTGCCGTCTTGGCCCTTCTTAATAATATGAGTGAAAGACTGGTCCTAAGGCAGACAACTGTCATTTAATTTGGTCATGAAGTTTAAATTAGAAAGGTTTTGACCATTTTAGTATTATTATTATCACATGCTTAAGTGAATATTGATCCAAACTGAAGAAATAGTGTATTTTTAACCTGCAGAAGATATAATAGGGTAACATCTTGCACTTGATTAACCACTGCTCAATGGGTTGTGTTGTGATTTCAACAACAAAGTGCATAATTAACTTCTTAGGGTGTCAGTGTGAGAAGCAGTGAGTAGAACTTCCTGGATCTCTTTTTCCTCAATCAGAATACGATACAAACATGCAGTGATGTTTTATTTCTTTGTTAAGACTGTAGTGTCATAACTGCCAGAAATCCCTGGTGTGGCTATGGTGGCTTAAAATTAATGTCTAAAATCGTTTTGATTGAACATTTGTTAGAAATAAACTCAAACACTTCTCAAAAGCAAAAAAGGGCTTCTTGCATGAAGTCTACTTCTGAGTTCCTCTTTAGCCTGAAGAATAACAAACCACTTAAATTTTGTCACAGAGATAGTCATAATACATATTTTTAATCCTGTCATTTGTCGTAAATAAATCTGATTTGTTTAGGTCAGGTTCCCCAGGAGATGAAGGAGTGAATTCCTGAGATATGATCTCTATCTCAATTGAACATTTTTGGAATGTTCTATTAAATGTTGAGACACCAACAGTGCTTCCAACGTTGAAATGAACGAAGTTTTAGCTGTCTCATCTGTGTTGCATGTCATTATTTTCATGAGTTGATACTGTTTAGGTCATGTTTCATTATTGTTACATAACAGTGATTTTACTGACCCATTTTGTGCTGTCTTTTGTATTGTTTAGGCTATTGAAAGGAATGCTATCCTTGAAAATGAACTGGATGAAAAAGAGACACTTCAGGAATCTGTACAGAGACTAAAAGATGAGGCTCGAGGTAACAAGCTCTGACTTGTTATGCAAAATTAATTTAGTTGGACAGAACACTTAAGTTATTAATCTGACCCCAGTTAAACAGTTGGATTAAAATGCTGGCCATCTAGAAGTTGGTAAATTGCTTTCCAGTTGATGTGTTAGGGGAACACTGTTATGTTACATCGTTGATGACAGATTTATCATTGAAAGGTACATGTGCTGTATCTGGAAAATTATCCAGCAAAGTTGTGTTTTGCCAAAAAATTGGGGAAACCAAATGTGTCGCCCAGATGGTGGAGATTTATTCAGTGAATAGCATCTCCTTTTAAACAGCTGGGATCTACAGCTGTAGTGCCTAGCAGTGGAATTGTGAACCAAACTTTGATATCGTGATCATCTCCAAGAATGAAAAATCTACAGCAACACCTTTTTACAAACTTTTTCTTAACCATTGCTTTCTTGTCATTTTTCTATTGTTGCTATGCTTGTGAAATCAAGGTATTGCTTGCTACTTAAAATTGGCAGATAGAGACCCAGAAACTGTATTTTATTTATTTTTTGAGGGCAAATAAAACTTTTCTTATTTCCCTTAATATTCACTGTTCCTGAGGGCTTTATTTTTTACAGGCCAAGATTGTAAGTTAAAAGATCAGTAGTACTATGGCTTAAGAAGGGGAGAAATCTATATATCATTGCTGTAATTTCTTTCAAGTTAAGCTTAACTCTGTAAAGGGACATCCTTATAAGTGGACAGCTCTACCCCTTTTTGAGTCTGACTGAAAAGCCCAGTTAAACTCTGCACTTACAAAAACTATTCTGCTCCAGTTTCGGCCCACCTTCTGTCTCCTTAGGAAAGGAAAGAGTATCAAAAGGAAGTCTCAACTGTATTCTAATGCCATAATTTGTAGCTCAAGGTTTAACTTAAAGTCATAAAAATAATACCAGATAAAAAGTGTTGATTCTTAAGTAAATTCAGGTAACAGGCCATTTTACAGTTACAAGTTAAAACGAGGATGGTGTTGACATTGTTTTGATACAACCCTTCCTGCTTTATTATGTAAATCATGTTGTTCTCATGCTAACTAGTATTTTTAAGCATAATTTCTTTGAGAAAAGGAAAGAGACTTGTATCAAGACAAGGTCAGCCTCAGTGTCTTGTTCCGTCAAACGCTGGGATACTGAGCCCATAACTGTAAAATGGTCTACTACCACAGGGAGAAATGCAAAGAGAATGGTGCAGAGAATAAGCTTGGTGATAAACGATCGGGGTTTAGCATGTTTGCCGCACAATTTAAGGGGCAAATTTGTTAGGCGTATATTCACCAGACACTCCATACTAATCCAAATAATGTGCATTGTTTTTCTTGCCAGACCTAAGACAAGAACTTGCAGTTAAAGAGAAAGAGAGGAGGAGGCCTAGTGAAAGTATGGATTTGGGTAAAGACAAGGGTCGTAACAAAGAAAACAAGGAGCCATTGAAAACAGAAGGAACACCCACAAAGCCAGAGACTACTGGTCAGACCACAGACCATATCACTAATCTATCAACTACCTCCATTGGAACATCACCACTTCATACTGGCTATGGAAGCTCACCACTAACACCCTCAGCAAGGATTTCAGCTCTGAATATTGTTGGAGATCTTCTTAGAAAAGTTGGGGTAAGTTTCAAGAGAGTTGAATTATAGCAGTAATGCCCATTGCAGTTTGATAGTAAATGCATTGTCTAGTTTTTGATGATTGTCAGAGAACAATAATGTTATCATTGATGTTGTCTTAATCACTTGTTGTAAAATTTCTGTATAAGCCTTTAAAATGTAATTAGCAATATGCCAAAACACTTGAAGTTTAAAGAACTGTTGCTAGTAGTAATGTATGTGTTTTTCACAGTACAAGCAACATTTCTCTCTTATTCCCAAAGATTTATTTTGTCAGACAACATAGTATTTTCAGTGATAACATCTATGTTCTTTTCTACCTTTTCCAGGCTCTTGAATCCAAGTTGGCCTCTTGTCGTAACTTTGTCAAGGATCAGCCTCGAAATCCAAGAGGATCAACTGGTTCTAACAGTCCTGCAGATTCCCCAAGGTAACAATTTTCCAGTACTCCTATTCTCTGTGTCAGTTCTTATACCCTTTTACCAAGTTCCTGTCAACAATTGCTCATTTTCCACTTCTTTTGTTATAGCATAGATTATGTAGTGTGACATTAATTTTGCAACTGGTTAGACTTTTTAATCTTTTTGGATGAAGACAAAATATTAATTTTAAGTCTACCTCACAGCAGTTTTCTGGATCTGACACTTCTGGGATGTACAAATTTCTAGCAGTGATGATCCATTTTTTCTTTCATTGGTTGTGAACTTGGGTGGGTACCCAGGTAGCTTGCATGGGATGTACATGTATGAGTTTTGTTCATAGGAATGTGTGTGTGATTCCAGTAATGTGGTTAAATAAAATACTGGTCAATTTGAAATGGATGCATTGATATGGGCTCGTATTTTTTGTCTTTGGTTCTTAGCTCTGTGTTACATTATTTTATTTTAGGCCGAGCAGAATTCCCAAGAGTAACTATCAAAGCCCTGGAATGCAAGGTCTTGTCAAGGTGCAAGTGTAATGAATCAAATATGTGTGAAAAAGAAATCAGTTCAATCACAACAGAAAGCTGTTTTTCACAACTAAACTAGTTTTTTCAGTTGAACAGGCCACACCTGTGACAGAAGTGTTGCAGCTGTGGAGGAGTTGTTGAGGATCAACGTTTAGAATAAAAAAATGAAAATGGCTTGTCGACCCCGTGTCACACCGTTACAGCTGCTAGCTGCAGAGAGTTAACTAAGTTTTATTTAACACAGTGGTGTTGTAAAAAACAGCTTCAGTTGTGATGACAAATTACCACTCCAAGAATAGAGTTGGTCATTTATTATTAGTCAGTCTGCTTACTGTGAAGTTCACTTATTGCGTGACTAAGTTCAGTAACAAATGAATGCATGAACCAATGAATGAATGATTGAGAGAGGAAATTTGCAGTCTGCTATCTCAAGTTATGTTAGAGAGTTTTAAATTCGGGATAGAGTTTGTGTCCAATTTGTACAGATATTTTGTATTGCTGAAAAAGCATTTTATTGTAACATACTTGTAGATTCAAAATCAAGTAGCACAAAAAAAAAACACATTTATAAAAGCATTTAAGAATATTTAATAATTGTGCAGAGATACTGTATGGGAGTGTGAGAGAGAGTGTTGTCATTTAAGATTTCTAATACTTCCAAATATTTATTTTTTAAATGTCAAGTAACTTTCCAGCTGGCATTAATAACCTGGAAAGGTGTTACATATGTATTCCCATTAAATGAGATTTACCGTAATGTGGTCTTGCAGACTTTTTTATGACACCGAAAGTTATTGTGGTTTGGACAGGAAAGTGTTCACTAAAGTTGAGCATTTGTTCAATCAACTTAAAGATAAAGAGAGGCACTTGACAATAGAAGTAATCAGCCCTCCAACCTGCCACCATTTTGATCACCGTGGCAAGTAGAAAAACAATATTAGGGAACTAAAATTGCAGCACAAGTAGTCAATTTGCAAGTCTTTGTGTAGGGGTCATGTGCCAAGCCACATTGTTTGATTGGATAGTGCAATTACGTATGGTCTTTGTAATGTTTATATCAGATAAACATTCGGATGGAAAAAATGCTTACCTTATAAGCCCTGGCTTATCCAAATTCATATGGAGTGTAAGGAGGGCTTATAAACAGAGGGGCTCATATCCAAGGGGGCTATACACAGACCTGGAAAGTGCCCCTCTCTTTGTTGGAACCAGTACAACTGTCATTTTTGGCAACCATTTTAAGATTGAAAAAATTGAGTTTGGAGGGCTGATAATATTGTCAGTGCAATTACTGTTATTAAGTAGGTCTTCAGTCCAACGCTAAGTCTAATACAGCAGTGAAATACTCAATTTAGCCATAAAGAAGGAAATTGTAAGGTTTAGTGTTTGAAGTGCTGTGGTTCCTGCTATAAATTGCAAGGCCCATGGCAGGTATTCTGACATAGCCTTATGGGCTGAGTTATCACGTACTTGCATTTGCAAGGAATTTAATCCATAGTAGGTTGATGTCATTATTGTGATCCTGTCTTAATATGTATGGTTGTTCAGTAAGGTTTAATTAGCACGCACACCATTGTATGTTGCACCTATATGTCTTAAAATTAACTTATGTTTGTGGTCCTGCGTTATTTAGAATAAATCTTTTATATTTTTTTAAAGAAATCATTATAAACATCTATAAAAATTATTCTTTTTAAGGTGCAAGGTGCTTCTTTGGTATTGTTATAAGAAGTTGAGCGTGTTTAAAAACTGGTGTTACTGGAATGTGGAACAGTTTTTTAAAGACTTCCCCAAGGCTTCCAGCTATAGTTTTCCCGGACCTTCTAGCATGTCTACCATTTGAGCACCCAGTACCTTAAACGATACTGTTATTGCCCAACGTTTCCTTTATTAATCTTCTATTAATCTATTATTTATCCAAGCATTGATATCTGAGTGATTTCTACTGTTTTGTAGTGGTAGTAAATTGCTGTATTTAATTAAATTTCACTACCAGACAGTTAGTATTATTAATGTTCACTTTGACTGTTTCAGAAATGCCAAGAAAGGTGTTTGAGTCATAAAGTTTTCTTAAGGCAATTTCTGAAGTTTCAAATCAATTGTATTACCTTACTAGTTACAATCCAGGGTAGAGTTATCTGATGTCTGCCCATATCATTTTATAGTTAAAAATTTCGTCACTATCTTGTTTTCTCTATCCCTGGGTTGTACAGAGTGTCTCTGTTCATTTCTCACCTTGTGGAGAGTAGGAACATCTGTAATTGTATATCTTTTGAATATAATGTATATATTCTGGTGCTGATTCACGGACAATTTTTTTTAAAACAAATCATCTTATGAAAATAATTTAAAGTAGATGGGGTTTCAAATCCCAGGATAGAAAACTTATTAGCATACACAAGCTTTTAATTCCAACATGGAAAAAAATTATCTTTAACTGAGGGAATTTGAAAACTTGTGCATGCTTACTTTTGTAAAAGTGTTTTTAGGAGAGCTCCATGCACGCATCAGGTGCGTGAGTGGAGCCCCATAGCTAAGAAAATTTGGTTATCTATCCATCCGAGAAATTGTAGTGGTCGCGTGACGGTACTTCCATCCGTCCACCCATCTGTACTCACCACTGCAGGGCAACCAATGTGAAATCTCACACTTTGTAGCTAGTGTGGGAGCCTGTAACGTGATATCCATGTCATTGTCAATTGACAGCTGTCAAAACAGGATATCAGCTGGCCAACATCAATATGACTGTATCACAGGCTCAGGTGTCGACCCATCAAAGTTGTGTGTTTCTTAAAGAATTCCACTGACAAGTTACTAGTTTTTAACTGATTGCTGGGTCAACTTGAAGTGGATTTCTTTGCAATGGTTAAAAACAAGATTTTTAGTTTATTGTTTGAAGCTAATTATTGAGGGAGCTTTGCCTTGGCTAAATCTATGTATTATCCTGGGATTTGAAACCTTGTCTACTTTAAATATCATTATGACAGGATCAAGTTACTCTTTTTGCTGACAGTTTATGAATGATTTGGAGGTAATGAGCGAATTTATTAGTGTTGTAACCCTTCTGTTGAGACCATACAATAATCATGGTGACTTTGGTAGTTTCAGGGACATCTGAAATCAATGTGTTGATGTAAATCCAACATATTTTCATAGCAAGTACGTGAATGATGGTTCTATCCCGAAGTGAATCACCACTGCCTTATCAACTGGTGTGAATTTTAATTTTTAATTCCAATAAACTGGCAGAAGGAACCTCAAAGGTCTTTTCTTCTACTTTGAATTGTACTTGTAGCTACTGAAGACAATAGCAGTTACACCATAGGACAGAGTGTCTCTAATTAATTTATAAGAGTTGATTGACATGAAGGGCACTGCTCCAGGGTCTGTGACAGTTATACAATAACAAGTTGTCTGTAATGATTGGAGGGTTATTCTAAATAAAAAGTAAAAAAGTTATTTTCTTTTTGTGTTGTCTACATTTGCAACAGAAGCATATAACCCCTGCTTCTGATTTGCAATAAAAAAAGATGCATGGTATTGGGCTCTACGTGACTCCTTAACATTTTGTACCTTTCTACTTTTAACCAGATACTGTAAACTTCTGCTTTTGAGCCCTAGGCCGTTTGTTACAACATCATGAGGGGTTTTAGGTAGGCTTATAAACGGCACGGGAGGGGGAGGGGGGAGCTTGTAAGTGGGCTAAAAAAGCATTTAAAAACAAGTGACTTAGCAGTGCTGATCAAAATACGTTTTGAAGTGACATATCAAAACATCACAAAAAATTGAATCCATGTCAACTATATCCCAGGGGGTGGGGGTGTATAATCAGATGTATTTTTTGTTTACAAGTTGATGGGTCTATAACCGGTGGGGGTATAAGCGGAAGTTTACGGTTTACAAGAACAACTGGAATTACTACCTGGCAGTTGATCACAGGTCATCCAAGCATTAATCCAGATACAACTATGACTTAATCTTTGTTATGAAAAGCTCTTGTAGGTGACACTCACGTAAGCCGTATGGTGATGTGTGTTCTTCGGACAGCAGCTTTAATACGGCTTTTGAAGGGTGTGGTAGGGGAGGTTACTACATCATGCCTCAAAAAATTATCTGGCTGCACTTGTTCAGTCAGGATGCTATTCTCTGGGTAAGTCTTTATCTAACGAATAACTTTTTAGAGAACCCACCGGGCTGGGACCTGAAATTGTACATGTGCTTTGATATTTACACGCACACTTTTCAATGCTTTTTACAGTTTTTAACACCGGGTTGTTCAAAGCTGGGTTAAGATAACCCAGGGTTAGTGTGAAATTTGAATTCAGACAGGAAAGCTTGTAACGTAAATTCAGTTTAATAATTAAACTCAATTTACTTTATAAGCTTTTTTTAAAGAATTATTCTTGTTGTCAACAAGTTGATGATTGGATGCTCTTAGAAATAACAGAGAAAATTATCCTAGAAAATGCTTTTGAACAAAAGAAAAAGAAATCCGGGTTTAATTTAACCCTGGGTTCAGCGCTTATCGGCCTTCCAACAACTGATCCCTGGCTCCATTGACTCTATATTGACCTATATTGGCTCTTTCGGAAAGTTCTTTCGGGGCAAACTGTTCATGCCTTCCCATAATGCTCTTCGCAACGTAAACAAAGATGGCGGCGTGTTTCAAATGTACGGTTGTGTTCATTTCGTAAAGTTTTTGTGCAAAGAAGAGAATGTCACAGGATGAAGGTGTTATTTCTACCAACGACGATGCAAGTGCTTGCAAGAGGTATAAAATTACTAAAAATAGCGCTTTCAAGTTCGCCCACCAAACAAATCTAGTCTAGTTTAGTGATTCATGTTCAAATTATTATTATCAGTTATTTGGTGGTCCATGTTTTATACCCACTCTATAGTCTCTAGTCTGTGTTGTACATACAGTCTACGTCCTATACTCAGACCAGAGACGTTAGTCTGCAGACCCTTGATCTGTATTTTATTACCGCCGGGCCTCTGATAAAATGTGACAATGGGACAAGTACCCTGAGAGCAGAGGCCCTTCGATCGACTTATCGAGGAAGATCGAAGGGCCTCTGCTCGCAGGGTATGGGACAAGAGAACATAACAAAAAGGAAATAGGCTGGGCATCCAAGCAGAGAAGACAACAGGACAAGTAGGCAGTTCATTATAAAACAAATCAGCAAGACAAAATAAGAAGTAGACATGATGAAATAACAAGTGCACAAGATGACTTAACAAGTAGACAAGTCAACATATAAAATAGATATTGAGTTATTTTTTACCACTCCATATTATCTTCAGTAGGTGGTGTTGTTTTCCCTATAGCTTTCAGCTAGTTGAGCCATTAAAAACTGCTCAGATCTGAATATGTTGCTTCAACAGACACAAAATGGGGTTGGAGATGTATGTGGGTGCTCTTCACCTCTTTGCAACCTTGGGCCTTCTCTGTTTGTTTCTGTCTCTGTGACAAATTTATTCCAAAAATTCTGGCCATTTAGAAACACTGAACTCGAATGCCCTTGGAACTTGCCTGGGTAAACAGCCATTTTTCTTATAAACTTTTCAATGACTTCGCTAGTAAAATAATATTGTAGCTCAAGGTGAACTCGTGGGTACCCCTCTGAGTATGTGGTTAGGGGTTAGGGTTAGTGACATGGAATAATACCCATGTGGAATGTAGTTAAAATGAGACTGTATCTGGTAGCAGATTAAAGATGTGTTGGTCATTTAACGCCATGTTTTAACTGAGGATTGTGGCATTACACTGGTGGCAGCAGAAAACAAAGACAAACTTCACGGATATCTGTGTTCAGTGGTGAATGATTTGTGTGTCTCTGGTTGATGTGGATATTTAGACTGTGATGCATGCCCCTAACCAGCACAATGAACAACCTGTGAATTGTGAAGGACCTGTTGGTGATCGCTGTGCCACTGTCGTGTTGGAACTAACCTGGACTTCCACCTTCTTGAGGGAACAGCACGAAGCAGATTCTGATCTCAAAGCTTTCATGTTGGATTGAATTCTCTAGAACTAAGTGAGTGAGTGAGTGAAAACTTTATTTACTCACGGTAATTTTATCAAATAACTTTACATAAAGCATCTGTTCTACCTAAAAGCCGTGCATTATTTAACTTACATAAAGATATAGATATGTATCTAAAAACTAAACTAAGAAAGATCGTACACAATGTTAAACCTAATGATAAAAAACTTAAATTATGAGGCTTGTGTAGATAGCAAATACGACCTGATCTTAGCCTTAAATTGTTTTAAAGAAGTTTCTTCCTTTAAACTGGTAGGAAGAGAATTCCAGAGCTTAGCGCCTGCAGTAGCAAAACTATTCCTAAAATAGTTTGTTCTTGCTTTTGGCACTATTAAATTCATTCCAGAAGAACGAAGGTCATAACTGAGCCGGCTTGTATTAACGTCAAACGTCAAACTTTTGACTTTGAGGTAGTATCGACCAGGACATTGACATCTGAATGCTGATGCACTTCTTTCCCATAGACCCTGTGATGTCCGTTGTTAGTGGTGTAAGGGTTGTAAGTCACAGGAATGAGTGTCTCTTGTTGATATGGGTGTTCAGACTGTGATTCAAGCTCCCTAACCGGGACAATGAACTACCTGTGAATTGTGAAGGATCTGTTGGTCATCGCTGTGCCACTGTCATGTTGGAACCAACCTGGACTTCCACCTTCTTGAGGGAACAGCGGGAAGCAGATTCTGATCTCAAATTCATTAATCGTTGGAAGGAAGTCAGCAAAGAGAAACTGTTGTGGGAAGATGTGTCGCCTCAGAGTTGTGCTGTGAAGACTTTGTGGTCACAGTGGGAGTGCCTGTTTACCCGAAACAGTGTGCTTTGTCACAAATGGGAAAGTGGCTAAGGAGAACAGACATTTGACCTGGTTATTCTTCTTGAAAGCCTCTGACAGACTGCTTTTGAATCTCATCATACAGCTGTAGTCTTACGACTGCAAGTCATTGCTGTGTTACTGGCCAGGACTTACTTCAGCAGTTCACATATTGGTCACCAGGTGCCAACCTGGGGAAGAAAGCATCATGCTCCTTTAAAGCAGTACGTGTAGAAGCTCCCATGGAACGAATCACGATTGACATTCTTGGCCCACTGCCAGAAACCCCTTTGAAAGAACAAATTTATACTGTTGGTTAGTGACTATTATCTACTGAGAGTTACCCAATACCAAACCAGGAGGCCACTACTGTTGCTGAGAAGCTAGGGAGCAAGTTCATTTGTCGTTTCTGTGTACCTCGTCAACTTCATAGCAACCAAGGAACTAACATTGAGTCAAAGGTGTTTGTTGAAGTCTGCAGACTTGAAGACTTTGAGAAGACTCACACCACTCCACTGCATCCCCACTCTGACGGACAGGGACCCTGGGACCTTCACTGGAGAGATGGATTCCAAAAAGGCAGTTGCAGCTACCAAGCCTAAGAGAAGAGGGGAGAGAGACATCAGAAGTGGGTTTATCAGTTTTTATTGACGACAGGCAGTCAGCTCCAGTTAAGGAGGGAGAGGGAGGTGAGCGTGACGAAACAGAATCTACGGAGGGAGTCAAAGATGATGTTTTTCCGAAACTTCTGAATGCTGATCGCACTGGGGATGATAACAGTGACAAGCCTGAGGATGTGAGGGAACCTGAACCTTGTGCAGAATTGACAACTTTTGCTGTGGATGCCCATAACTAGGAGGGTCTCGGCTGTCAAACAGCTGAGTCGACTGTACAAGGTTTACCACGCAGTGATTCCGGTGTTTGTAGGAGACCTTGTAGTCGACATAGAAAGTGGGTGACTGATTATCCTGAAGTGTTCAGGGACTGATAAGCATTATAGGACAGTCTAGGCAACTAGACAAGTACAAGTTAATGCCATTCATTTCCTAAGAATTGTTGACATTTGGAATGTGATGAACAATCATTAGAGACTCTTAGTCCGTTGTGTTGAATTGATGTTGTTGTGAATCAGTCAGAAGTGATTTGTAAAATAGTGGACCAGCACTGGGACAGTGCTTTAACAAGGGAGGAGTAGTGTAGCGCTAGGCAAACCCGAGGGTATACCCCCCTGAGTACATCACGTGACATGGCATAATAGCCACGTCGGAAGTAGTTAAAATTAGACTGTATCTGGTAGCAGATTAAAGATGTGTTGTTGTTTATCTAATGCTGTGTTTTAACTGAGGATTGTGGCATTACAATATACCATCTGAACTTGGTGCCCCTGGGCTTCTAACAATGGACCCCTTGGGAAGATGCATTTATTTAACCAGCTTACAAGGAGAAACTGGTATGTTATCTTACTTCTGGCATTGGCTGGTATTTCTCTACGAAGTAAGTGATATTCTAGGTTGAACTGAAGCTCTTGATTTTCCTAGGGTTTATCTTTGAATTAGAAGTTCTTCATATGTTTGTCTTAGTGGAGGTTGGTTCTTTATCAGTTGCCAGTTTACTGATGGTTGCTGCAGTGTGTATGTTGTGTGCCCTTGGTGTCATTAGTGCTTCTAAGTGCAAAGTCAAGGTCACAGGTATCACTGGGTATTATCTAAGAGGCCTGACCACCTAAGGACCCTATGCTGAGGTTTGTCACACATTCCACTCAATAAAGTCTCCGTTTCAAAGTCCTGTCATGCAGACCATTTCAGACTCAAAGAAACCAGGAACTAAATTAGAAAAATCTAAGGCTACATCAGATGGCAAAATCCTTCAAAACTGCTGTTATTAATTTTTATTGAAAACCAACTGCTAACCACAAAAGATACCAAAACCTTAAATCCCAAGTTTTTGAGTGCAAAAACTGCAAATTAAACTGACCTAAAAAAAAATCTGTGAAAACAAAAATTCTAACTTCGCCTTTTAGGCTATGATCTATTATCTTAGTCTGCAGAGGAAGTGGAGATCAACTTGCATCCATTCCAGGGCTCATTCATTTTACTGGATTCAACAAATTATTTCTTCTGACCTTGTTTGTTTCTTTCAGGTTTGCTGTTCAGCTAGGTTACTGGTCAGACAATTATATTCAGCACTTCACAAGGCTTGGAGAGAGAAAGACTCCAGAAATCAATAGAGGTAATGCTCTATATCTTACTTGATTTTCTATGTTGGTGAGCAAGGATGGTGCAGTTGTGAGAGTACTCATCTCCCACCAGTGTGGTCCGGGCTCAAATCCTGGTGTCAACGCCATACGTGGGTTGAGCTTGTTGTTGGTTTTCTCCCTTACTCCAAGAGGTTTTCCTCCAGGTACTGTGGTTTTCCCCTCTCCTTTAAAACCACCCTTTCCAAATTCCAATTTGATTTGGAATGCACAGACAGATTTCAAGGAGGTATTAAGAACTCCTCAGTGCTCCATGCTCCATAATATTAGAGTTACCTGAAATATTCTAACCTCCGTTAGCACATGCCTTTTTTGGCTTTTGTTGGAGTGAAGTGACAACTGGAAATATGGTTGTGTTTGCACCAGGCTAGAAATAATCAACCTCAACCTTGCCTCTTTGCACTCTGTTATGCATAAGGCCCCCACACCTCTCCTGCTGTCTTCAAAGGTGTGTCTGGATTCAGGGATGATATTTTTTATGGGGATGGGACCCCAACCTGGAGGACTAGGAATTGCAATTTGTCTGGCCTTTCACCCAAAACCTGCCCAAAGTGGCTGAACCCACCAGGGTCCAAGGTCCCAACTGGTATAGCTACCAGGTTCATCAAGGCACCCAATGTTAAGGCGCAATAATCATGTTTATAAAAATTGTGTTTCTAGGTTACTATGCTCGTGTTAAAGGAATGCGAACTCTTTTGGACCAATTTCTCACGCAGACGCACTGTAAATGTCAGGTTATCAGTCTTGGCGCTGGATTTGATTCCCTCTTTTGGCTGTTAAAGGTAATGCAAATGTCTACATGTGAAAGCACAGGCATCCAAAGCTCACATTAAGAGGGTGGACATCAGTGAGTGGGTACCACGTTACATGCAATCATTGAGATGTTGTATGAGAAATAAAATACTCCTGAGATCTGCAAATGATAAATATCAGTGTATTTTACCTTTTGATCAATTAACCGAATGAAGAAGTATTATCTTTGATGTATTTCTGCGTGTTTTGGTGTGAATTCATCAATTTAGTTGGCTTTTTGGCTCCATTACGTTATCCCTGTAACTCTGACTGATTGCTAGGGGTAACGCAATAGAGCTAAAAAGTTGACCAAATCGGTAAATTCATACCAAAACACACACAAATACATCAAAGATAAAATTCCTTATCGTTTGCAGATCTCAGTATTTTATTTCTCATACAACGTCTCAACGATCGCTTGTAACTAATGCTATGCTGACTCACTAGCATCCACCCTTATAACGTGAGCTTAGGGTGCCTGTGGTGAAAGGTGCAGTAGCCTGCATATAAGAGGCATAATTCTAAGTTTTTTTGTTTTTATTTCAAGTAAAGGAGGATGGCTTATTGCCAAAGCTATTTGTGGAGATAGATTTTGGAAATGTAACCAGCAGAAAGTGTTACAGCATAAGGCAAGTTATCTTTTATACCTTTACATTAAATAACAATTTCTTTGTTCACAATGTTTTTAATAGGCAATATAATGATTCCTGTCTGTTAATCCTAAGAGTATTATCATTGGATCAAATTTTTCTTCCTTTTCATTGGCCGAGAGCCCACCACATGACCTGCAAAGAACTGTCTACAAATAATGGTCTGCTCATGCGCAATGTCGTCCGACTGTGTTTATCTGCAAATAACATTCTGCTCATGCGTAAATGAAACAACACGTTTCTCCTTCTTGCGATCGGTCTTGCATGAAAATGGCAGATGGCTTCACTTCTCGCAGATATTCGTTAAAATCCAACTTGGTGATCGAATGGTAGTAAACGATTATTGAACTTGGTTATCACAAAATATTGTGATTGATGTCCTTGCCACTGAGAAATCATGATTTTCCACTCAACCTTGTCCTGTCATATTATTGTTAATCATCCACAAAAATATAAGCACAATATGTACTTTTTGCTTCTTTTATTTTGTTTTTGTTCTTAGGATCAGTTTCAAGTTTATACTGATATGATGTAGGTTTTGAAGCCCAGATCCTGTGTGCTACATTAATAAAATTTCAACTTGTTGCTGGGGTTACACATTTTGTTTCTGTGTACTGTGTAAGCCTTTTTCGTCTCTGTCTTTAGGGCAAGGAGAAAACTTCAGGAAGTCTTTTCTCAAGATGATGGATTGAAAATTGGTTAGTTTTCATATATTGAAAAAGATAAACTATTAAACTAAGAAAAGCCAGGAAGACTGCATACAAGTTTTACCTCATGATAATAAAAGTTAGGTTCAGCAAATGAAACAAGCAAAATGGATAAAACAGTCAAAACACTTGATTCAATGAATAATTTATGAAAATAAACTGACCAATATTTCATGGTTTTAAAATCTACTAGTACTTATTGTTTTGATGATGAAAATGTGAAGTTTTGATTTGCTGCCATTTGCCATCTAACCCTGCAACTTGCTGGAGCCATTAAGTTCTAATGAGTTGAACAAAATCCATTCAAATTAAACGTCTTAACAGAAGCCTGTTAACTTCTATAGCACTGTTTGCTTTTAAAAAGACCATTTGCACAATGGCGTCATGTTACTACTGTGACCAGAATCCTTTTTGTTTTTCCTTTCATATTTAATTTTGGTAATCCCGATAAGGTTTAAATGAAAAAAGCCTTCATTCGGACAACTCTGCTCTCAAAGGACTTTGATCCTAGTTATTAAAATGATGTCATTGCGAAGATAGCCTATTGGACCACAACTATTTTTTTACAACTTCAAAAATGAAGATTGTCTTGAATTTTGCATCCTTAAAGAAACAAATTATCATTAAATCAATATTATTTGCTTTATTGCAGAAGGAAGTGAAGCTCACTCTAAACATTATCACCTACTAGCTGCTGATCTGAGAGATATAAGTATACTTGAAAGCAAATTGAATGAAATTGGGATTGATAAAAGGTCAGTGGAGCTAGAGGTTCAGCTGCAAATTATTTAGAATTGCATGTGCAGGGCTCAAAATAATGGCTGGTCAATGGATAATGTCCGGCCAGAAAGGCAACTTGATGGGCCAGGAACTTCACTTGCCGGTCATGTCGACCGGTCACAGACACTCTCATTCTTGAACAAACAGCCAATTCCTAACCGGTAAATCATAGATTTTATCTCAGTTATCATGTTCACGAATAGAATATTACACAAAGTTCAGTTGACTTTTTTACCGGCCCATCTTTTTGACCGGTCAGAAAGAGGCCTTGTCTTGATCGAGCAAAAATTTCATTGCCTGGTATTTGTGTTGCCTGTGTGCAAAAGGAGATGTCTGGAAGCACGCAAGTATTCCCTTCCTGCTACCATCCAAAAATTATTTTGAGCCCTGATGTGTATGGCAAAATTTTTGTAGTCAGCAAAGGGACTGGATGATCATTGTTTTTTGCACCTTTTCACCTTGTTTATGTCTTGCCATTACTGTATTTTCTCATGCAGTCTTCAAGTTGCCCAATGGATGCAGCAAGTTTGGCACTATTATAAAGAAAAAATAATCAAACTTACATGTAATATTGGCCCAGTTATTCCCAGCAATAGGTAGTGTTAAGTTTCCCTCATTTCTAAGTGGCTTGCACTAATGTTAGAAGTTCAAAATCTAAGTTAACTCGCCATTAGGGCAAGTTGACTTTTAATTATTCTCATGCTGCCAGTAGTCCTACATTATAAAATATGATGGATTGATCAAGTTAACCCTCTCCCCACTTAGTTAATTGATTGACAAAAATGTTGTCAGTGATTTAAGAAATGTGATTTTCAAATAGACACTGCCCTTGAATAATCACCATCCTTGAAATATTCTGCATCAGAAACGCTAAAACTTTGATAAACAATGTGGTGTTTAATCGAATAAAAACAGTTTGTAACCTACAGGATTATGGTGTCTGATAATTTGTGTTTCAGCCTACCAACAGTGTTCATCACTGAGTGTGTGTTGGTTTACATGGATCCTGAACATTCAGCTGCCATAATTAATTGGGCAGGAGCAACTTTCAAAACTGCTCTTTTTATTAACTACGAACAGGTAAAAAGGTCATATTCTTAACTTCTAGTGTCTTAAAAAAGTCAACATCAAATAAATTTCACTTGTCTTTTAGCCAGTTACTATATCTGGATCTGTAAAAAGAAGAAACTGGAACCAAATCTAGTGGGTATTTTAAAACGACTATAACTTTTTTTATGAAATAGAATCCAAAGCAACCATTGATATACCAAAAAAGTGGGAACTCTCTTCGTAAATATTCTTTAAATACCTTTTTCTCACTTACTTCAATCGTAAAATTCATAAAAAAACTAGCTCTCTTAGCCCTAACACCTGCAGCTAATTCCTTCAGTTTTTATCAATTTTTTTCCAGTCTATGCTGAATGTAATTAGTTTGTCAATAGTGCTTAAAGCTTGTTACTCTGCTTTTTGCAGATGTACTTTGATTGATTATGTATATTACTTCCTTTTTTTGCACTATGCACTATTTTTTCTTTTATTTAATTATTTTTTTGTGTGTGATGTAATAAGTTGTTAAAATAATGAAATAAAATAAGAAACACTTCTAGTGTCAGAATAGTATTCAAGACATGTTTGTGTAATATGTAGTCTATTTCAAAGATTATTTTTTCTGCTGTGGAAATATGGTTTAGTAAATAATGAAAAATATGCACTCAGAGCAAAGCTCAAACAACTGAGCAAGATGTTTAGGTAATGTCAATATTTTGTTTTTCAAGACCTCTTCACTGTCAGTCCATATTTTTTATTATTAACAAAAAGTTTTAATTGCGCTTTGACCAGTCTTAAACAAAACTCAGTGGTGTGATTCAAAAATTAAAAACAAACCAGTTTGAAAATTTCAACCCAGTTTAAGAATTTTAACCTAGTTTGAAAATTTTAAGCTAGTTTGAAAAATTTAAACTGGTTCAAAAAAAATGAAACCAAAAAAAATTTGAACCATAACAAGTATAGTCTTAACTCTGAGTTTCACTGGAATTAATTAAAATAATATTATTTATTTGTTCATTACTTCTTTTCTTTGGTCCTTTTTTAACTTCTAACTGTTTAAAATGGAAATGTAATGTATTATAATTGCCTTTATATTCAGTTTTAAAGAACAAGCCCATTGAAATGTTTTGCCAATTTCAAGATATATTTTTTAATCTAGGTTTCATAACAATGGTTTCTATGTTTCTTCACAGGTGAATATGCAGGACAGATTTGGTCAAGTTATGATCCAGAATCTCAGAGTACGTATCATGTCAGTGAGGATAGTGTGGGATGCGTTGGATGATACGATGCATTCAGTCTGGACCCATGTGCATTATATTTTTGGAAATGGCCAGGGGCCCTGTCCCTCCTGGCACCTTACATGTTTCTTGTTTTGTGTTCTGTTAAATTGTTGCAATTATTTTGGCTGGTCAGCCATTTCTTAAAAAACCTCTCCGTTTTTCATGAAGGAAATAATTAAATGTTTTGTGGAGGAATTTGTTCTTAAACATAAGATGTAAAACATTAATGTGAGTAATCAAAGGCTATTATCTTCATGTCTGTTGAAACTATTGCATATTTGATATTTGCATGATAAAGACTATAGCCTATGATGTCATTTATGTTATCATATTCCCAGGGAATGTAGCCAGACTGTTTTGCAAAAAGTGGGTTAATTTTATACGTTTTATACTACTTTTGGTAGAAAAGCAGGACAACATGGGATCCTTCCACTTCTAAAAATCCTAGGTGTCCATGCCCTCAACCATAAGTTAAACTTAAATGTGTCATTGCAGGGTAGAAATTGTGAACTTCTTGGTGCATTTGCTTGTCCAGATCTTGAATCACATGTGAGTAACTAGTTCCAAACTTCACAATCTAGCTATTAGAGTATCCAAACAAAATACATATTACATTTGCATATATTTAACAATTATTCCACGAGTGCACGTTGGATATGAGATGGTAGAATCATCTCATATCCAACAAGCCTGAGTGGAATAACTGTTTTATTAAAAACGCCCACAAAATATTGATAGTTCTTCCCAACTTTATTTGTAAAAACAACCGATTTTCAGCTTGTTTTTAATTTTGAGCAGACGTGTACAGTTACCATATTTGGAGAGCATAGTATAATGGCTCATATACCATGATGGCTAAGCCAATCAGAGCTCTAGAATTGCATTATCCAATGATTCAGTTTTTGACAAAATATAATAAAACAAAGCTTTATTTGGGTGTCAATGTGCTTAGCATGAAAGTACTAATTGTTGTCACTATTTTGATCTCTCACTGGAGACGGGACTGTCATTTTATGTGGTCATGCGGTTGTCTAGCCGTTTGCAAGGCAAAGACGGTACCTTCATTTCGCAGTTTTTTTAAGACCCTGAGAATGTGCCATTTCCGAGTTCCCCCAGGCCTCTGTATCAAAACGAGGTTAAGTACTCAGCCTTTGATATGAAAATGATTTTTCATTCTCATGCAAATAAAACTCATTTTCACAACAAAGGTTGTGCACTTCGCCTCGTTTTGAAACCGAGGGTTTTTGGAACTTGGAAGTGGCCCATTGGTCCGTCCCCGGAAACCAAACCCACGACATCGCCTCTTAAGTTTAGCTGACTGAGCTAATCCAGTCGAGGTTAAAGTCTTCAGTCAGATCTGGATTTTATACACAGTATTTTGGACACTTCATCTAAACCTTCGCGTGGCTCGGATGACCACGTAAAATGGCGGTCCCGTCTCCATTAGGAGACGTTAAAATGAGGGCCACAAGTTTATTAGCCTTTGGCTATTAAGTGCTACCCTCTTTAAATAAAGGCTATTTTTTTTTTTTAATCCCAAAGATCCCAAACTTTATGCAATTCATACAAACCCCTATACCAGGCAGACACTTGGCTCTGTCACTTCAGTGCAACCATGGACGTTAATTTTCCATAGGTTTTTGCTTTCTTTCTCCACTCAATAGAGACAAAGATTCCTGACAAATAACTGGGAGAGAGCGGAAGTTCTTGACATGATGAATGTCTACAACTGCCTACCTTTTAATGACAGAACAAGGTTTGTTTGTTTATGAAACCACTTTGCATGAATCTGAATTTTAGTTGATTGTAGTCGTTTATAGTAGAAGGTAGTTTGAGTGAGATTAAGTCTAAGAAATTTGACCAATAGGCCACGTCCAACAGTTAAACATTTGCTGAGATGTTGTGACCTTTGGCATCTATTACAGTTGACTTCGTCCACATGCTTTGTAACTATTTTAATTTGTAATGACAAACATGTTAATTTAGTGATTTAAATTATTGTAGTCACTGTTAATATTAACCCAGTATGATCTTAACATCTCTCAGAATCTGTCGACATTGTCCCATTCTCCCAATGTTTCAGGGGCACCCAACGTCAATTTTTGGAAAATATCTGTTCGGAAGACGATTTGAGCTCCAGAAGTTTTGGAACATTTGTTGTAAAATTTCTTGCTTGCCTGCCTCTCCTAGGATTTTCGAACATCCAAAAAATGGTATAATTGCCCATTTTTAACGGATTTTTTACCCTAAAAAAGTCACCTAGAATATTCGGAAACCTTTTTTCTTGCTGAAATTTTCGAAAAGGTAAGTTTTGATGCCTATAATTTTCGGATCACTAGACTTTCAGCTAGGATATCCGAACAGATGAAATATGAAAAAAAAAAAAAAATATGCCTATATTTACCGCTTAAATACTAAAATATGTTTAACAATGCTATGTTCAAGTGATTTTGAACTATATTCTCGTTGGGTGCCCCTCATGTTTTGACAGTATGGTGACTACCCTGGGTTTAAGGTAACTGTATTGCATCAGCAGAAAAAGTATGCCAAAAGGCTTATAAACTGCATCTCGTTCCTTTTTTCATCATAAAATTGCCAGCTATTTCAGGGTTCAGTTTCACCTTTCCATTTATTTTTATTTTCAAACAGAATAGAGAGAATCGAATTTCTTGACGAAGTTGATCTTCTACACCAGTTGCTTTCTCATTATTGTATCGCTTGGGCAGTGAATGATGCTTCACAGCTTGGTGAGTATTTTTCCATTTATTGTTCTTGTTCCCTCTACACACGCTGATTCTATCTTTGCTGGGTGATTATGGGAGAATGCGTTATCACAGTGATCTGATTCGGCTGTCTTCCACCAAAGGAGCACTGTGGAATTCCAAGATCGGAATTAGTTAATACTTAAGTTAAACCTCGTTTTTGTTTAATGTTTCTTTTGCGTTAATTTTCTTCGTTCTTTCTCTTAGTTCTACAATTACAGGTTTTTCAAGTGCCATAACCACGTTAAACAAAGTCAATATCTTTTATCATCATTGTCATTGTTATTATCATTATTATTGTTGTTGTTGCTGTTGTTGTTGTTGTTACTTGCTGCTCCGAAAGTGAAAAGGAAGTTATATCAGTAATCAAATGCAAAAGAATCGCGGTGCATAGTGGCCGCCGGAGTGCAGCGTAGTACGTTACTCTTCTGATCACGAAACACGGTTATAACGATGAAGAGGTTGACGACAAGCCTAAATTTCTCGTGCGTTTTTGAACATAAATGTCTTTTAAAATTTTGTTCATTACAAGAAAACCTGATAATACGTTGTGTGTTCTCTAGGTTTGTCAAGCATTGCTTTTTGAGAGGAGTTACAAGCTGTAATGAAAATGGCAAAACGTTGAGCCTTGTTCATGCTTGAAGTTTGTTCACTGCTGAAGTGCTTTGAAACCTTAAAGCCTTAGTACATGAAGCACAGACATACCAGTCATTGTTCGAGTAGTACATGGTGTATGGTTGTGTACATTTCTTATTCCACTGGTTACAACTATATACCCCTAAATGACTCAGACCGACAGTCTGAATCATGTTCAATAAAGCAAGTAAGGAAAGCAGTGTGATAAATGAATTGTTGTTATTTAAGGTGGCTGAACACAGTTTTGGCAGTTTTTGATTATATGTCATTTGCCAAATCATGGCAAGAGAAAGGTTGCTGCTCACAAGCTGAAACTTGGCAAGTGAAAAGTGTACTGATAAAACATTTTGATTGACAGGTAAAAATTGACGTTTTCGTAGTTTCCATGGCAACATGAACGATTGAATCCAACCTTAAATTTTCACTTTTTCTCAGTTTACATAAAACTTGCTCATTAGATTTTCCTATTAACTTGCACACAGCTTACTATAATTAATCATCACCATTTGAAACTTATTTGACCAAATTTTAACAGACGGGTTTTTAGATAATCAATAATTTAATTGTACTGTAATTATTAAATGTGTCAAAAAATTCGTCTGTTCAACTTCCATTTTAAAGTTCTCATTACTTAAAATACAATGAAAGGAAAGATTCTGCCAAATATCACAAAATTCTAATGAGTAGATTTTGAGAAATCGTCTTCTGTGTACCATTGCTTTTTCGCCGCCATGTTTGTTTGTCTAATTTAAAACACGCGCCGTCACGCAAGTTACCGCTGACCATCCGCAAAACTGTGTTCAGCCACCTTAATAGTGAGTAACTTCGAATTTGGCACAAGCTACTCTGATTCTTATTATAATTAAAAACGATGAGGAGAATTGCAATAGAACAGTATTACAGTAACATTTCAATGTCAAGCCAGGTATGGCATCCCCTCGCATTAGGCAGAACGAATTTAATTGAGAAAACGGAGGCATTTTTAGAACTTGTATGACTTACAGGCTACTCCTTTGCAAAAATAGATTTTATAGTTAATACTGTCTGAAGAAGATTGTTGTAGGCAAGAGCTATTTTTCTATAATTTATAAAGTAATCAACATGACTTCTTAGGTTATGTTTCACTTTGATTTTGGATTGTACACAGAGTTTAGTCTCATTTGCTAAATAATATATGCCAAAAGGGTTTGTACCCCTCTTCAAAACCGCTCTAAATATACAGGGGCCAGCGGCCCGTATCTCGAAAGTCCCAGTGACTTTTCTAGCCTGCGTAGCAAGCGTTTCCAATCGAGTTATTGCGCGAAAGTTAGAGCGGAAGCAAAAAAACGGTTTAAGGGGGAGGGGGAGGGGGAGGGGAGAAAAGGTTCCTTCATTCCCCTCCCCCTCCCCCGTCATTCATTTTTTTTTGCTTTTGTCCCAGTTTTCTTGACGAACCTCGCGAGGAAACGCTTGCTACGCAGGCTATGACTTTTCGGGCCCGAAATAATGTTAAAAAGAATGTGAGAGCAGGCTCCGGCGGCCTAACCAGTCAATTTTGCTTCTTTATCTGGCCTCAGCTTTTCAAGAGGAGGATAGCGCCATCCACCGCATAAATCTCTGTCCAGTGGATAGTGTGCAATTGGTTTCCCAAACACTTATCCGCTGAATAGAGATTTATGCGATGGATAGCGCTGTCCAGCTTTTGAACCTCTGGAGCCTGATGATTTTATTGTATCGTTTTCAGAGCTATTATCCCGCGATCTTGAGTCCAAACACTGCAAACATGAAACAGCTTTCCTGCCCAGTACTTTACGGGACCTTCGAGAAACGAGCTTCAGGGCCTTCAATAAAATGTTATCTTAAGTTATTGTTTCTTAACATTAAAAACAATAATTATGATTTTTCGTAGCTTGAATCCGGCTCCATCTGATCTGGTTTTCCTCATAATGCCACAATTTATTTGTTCATGTTCATGCTAATAAAGGAATTTATTACAAAAGAGAACTTGTCTTCATTTTATAGCCATTTCCTCCTTTGTTTCATCACAAATGTAAGGAGACTTTCGAAGAAAGAGGTGAGCCAATTTTTCCGCCCTTTGCGGCTTCATCGCTCGCTTCGCTCGCCATAAATGAAGAGCTTGCTCGCAGGCAAGAGAGAATGATCTAGCTCATTCTCTCTTGTCGCAGGCTAGTAGGGGCGGTGGTGTCCTCGTAATTTGGGTACCCCCGTGTCGAGGTATCGCCGCACCCAAACTGCTATTAATATCGGTACTGGCCAGGTACTGGCCACATCCAAGAGACTCGCCCCTTTTAATTTTGCGTAAGTGTCTTGACACTCTTCCGGTATACCAAGATGTCAAGATCTCTATAAGTGATTTGGGTGTCCCTTGTCAGTTTTTGTACGCTGCGTGTGCCGTAAGACTGTCTCCTCCCTTAATTTCGAACCTAACCCGAGTTGTCAAATTTAGAGAAGACACTAAAAGATTTCCATATGTGAGGGGTTTTTCGCTAAACGTCAATATACTGCTAAATATCATTATTTCACAGAGTATTGCAACAACAACAATAAATTCAGGTACGAGTGGGTGGAAGATACTGTTAAGACAGTCAATTTGACTAGGCCTTGGTCTTCTTTTTCTACAACCCCACTACGCTTCCCACAAAGGCTCAAAATCGCAAAACCAGAGTCCAGAGCCCCTCTCTCAGCTCCAAATGGCGGGAAACGGCTATCTCTACCTGAGATGTGTAAGGAACGACAACATCTTCGATCATCTTCTTCTTCTTTTCCTTTCTGTGTCATGTGAGTCATGGGACTAGTCTGCTACACAGCCGTTTTTTGTGTCGTCATGCAACGCTCGGCTCCCCAAGGAGCGTTGCGTGACGACACTAAAAACTGTCGTTTTTCATGTCGTCCACGCAACAAGCCCACAATGCCTTGGCCTGTACCCGGTACAAGGAGCGTTGTAGCGTGACGACACTGTAAAAACTGTAGTAGCTGTTGATTTTTCAGTGTCAGCTATTTTAAATATGTTGCTGGTACGGTTTTCAAAACACCTTCCAGATATACTGTTAATCAATGGCGCTTTACAATAATTTTGCTTTTAAAATTAAGATAAATTTGACCTACTGAAATTAAAGAAAATATATTCAGTTGTAAAAGTTTATCCTGGCTTGAACAAAATAGTGAGTGCGCCGATCTCATTTGTGTGCCTATATACGCTATTTTTAATCAATCTATCAGTCAGGGTAACCTCCCAGAAGACTGGAAATCTGCGATAGTCACATCCCTTTACCAGCAAGGTGATCGAGACGACGTAAACAATTACCGTCCGACCCCGGTTATTCCAGTTGCGGTCAAGGTATTTGAAAGACCAGTTTACGAACAATTGTAAGGCTATTTAGAAAAGCCCGATACCGCGGTAGAATTCCGGTTACGGTATTCATTATCCATGTAAACAAAATAATAAAAGTGTAACAAAAAAGGCTCCGAAATGTTCGTATACTATACTTTGAAAATATTGTTCGTATTATATGACAACTTTGATGACACATACAGTTTTTATCTGTATTTACGCGTTTTAGTTACTATGTTATCCGTAGCCTATGTTTATGAAAATACAGAACACAGGGGCACCCAACGAGAATATAGTTCAAAACCACTTAAACAGAGAATTGTTTAACGTATTTTAGTATTTAAACGGTAGATATAGGCATATTTTTATCCCCTAAAAATTTGTCTTCTGTTCGGATTTCCTAGCTGAAAGTCAAGTGATCCGAAAATTATAGGGATCAAAACTTACCTTTTCGAAAATTTTAGCCAGAAAAAAGGCTCCCGAAAATTCTAGGTGACTTTTTTAGGGTAAAAATCCGTTAAAAATAGGCAATTGTACCATTTTTCAGATGTCCGAAAATCCTAGGAGAGGCAGGCAAGCAAGAAATTTTACAACAAATGTTCCGAAAATTCTAGATCTCAAATCGTCTTCCGAACAGATATTTTTCCGAAAATTGTCGTTGGGTGCCCCTGAGAACACCACTAAAATAGCAAAATACCGTAAAATTCCGAAAATAAGCCCCTCCATATAAACTATTCAGTCAAATGAGCAAGGGAAACGGGTAAAGACAAACTACAAAATAACCAAACGTGTAACTTTGACAAGAAAACAAAAATCCATCGAAATATTTTTCCACTTCTCACCTCCTTCAAAATAACGTCGCAATCCTCCTAGTTTCCTCTTTTTCCCTAATTTCAGGGAGTCGTTACTTTCGGTAATAGAGCAATTATTAAAGATAATACAAACCTCGACCAGGATAATTCTTCCTACCGTACTCAACCTCATCCAATAATTAACAATTACAACAACTCATGCAGTCTAACAACGAATCAGTGTGATGGTACCAAAAATGAAAGAAATCAACCTTTAAAAGCATTTACTTCACATGAAGTTTAACGACTATTATATGTGAATAAGTTGGTAACGAATTTCCTTGACTCATGTATGAACAAAGTCGGGATCCATTACTCCAGGAAACATTGTCTTTGTCAAGTGTAGGTGATGTAACATAAGTTTATTAGAATACTATTGGAATATTGTTAGCCTTGTTTTGTTATAAATTACTGTAGATATGCTTCCGCCACGCAAAATAATACGGACGTCATGCAGCTACTACACCTACTACAGCTCCTACACCTACTACACCGACTGCAGCTACTACAGGTACTACACAGCTTACTACAACTACTACAGCTACTACACTTACTACACATACAACGGTTACTACACCTACTGCAGCTACTACGGTTACTACACCTACTGCAGCTACTACACTTACTACAGCTACTACTATACAGCTACTACACCTACTACACCCACTACACCTACTACAGCTACTACACCTACTACAGCTACTACAGCTACTACACCTACTACAGCAGCTACAGCTACTACACCTACTACAGCTACTACAGCTGCTACAGCTACTAAACCTATTACACCTACTACACCCACTACACCTACTACACCCACTACACCCACTACACCTACTACACCTACTACACCTACTACACTTCCTACAGCTACTACAGCAACTACAGCTACTACACCTACTACAGCAACTACAGCTACTACAGCTACTACACCTACTACAGCCACTACACCTACTACACCCACTACAGCTACTACAGCTGCTGCACGTGCACCTACTACACCTTACCACAGTGACTACAGCTACTACAGCTACTGCACCTACTACACCTACTACACTTACTACAGCTACTGCACCTACTACACCTACTACACCTACTACACTTACTACAGCTACTGCACCTACTACACCTACTACACCTACTACACTTACTACAGCTACTACACCTACTACAGCAACTACAGCTACTACACCTACTACAGCCACTACACCTACTACAGCTACGACAGCTACTGCACCTACTGCACCTACTACAGCTACGACAGCTACTGCACCTACTGCACCTACTACACTTACTACAGCTACTACAGCTACTGCACCTACTACACCTACTACACTTACTACAGCTACTACACCCACTACAGCAACTACAGCTACTACACCTACTACACCCACTACACCCACTACACCTACTACACCCACTACACCCACTACACCTACTACACCTACTACAGCTACGACAGCTACTGCACCTACTACACCTACTACACCTACTACACTTACTACAGCTACTACAGCAACTACAGCTACTACACCTACTACAGCAACTACAGCTACTACACCTACTACAGCCACTACACCTACTACAGCTACTACACCCACTACAGCTACTACAGCTACTGCACCTACTACACCTACTACACTTACTACAGCTACTACAGCTACTACTGCTACTACACCTACTACAGCAACTACAGCTACTGCACCTACTACACCTACTACATTTACTACAGCTACTACAGCTACTACACCTACTACAGCAACTACAGCTACTACACCTACTACAGCCACTACACCTACTACAGCTACTACACCCACTACAGCTACGACAGCTACTGCACCTACTGCACCTACTACAGCTACTGCACCTACTACAGCTACTACACCTACTACAGCAACTGCAGCTACTGCACCTACTACACCTACTACACTCACTACAGCTACTACAGCTACTACACCTACTACAGCCACTACACCTACTACAGCTACTACACCCACTACAGCTACGACAGCTACTGCACCTACTGCACCTACTACACTTACTACAGCTACTACACTTACTACAGCTACTACACCCACTACAGCTACGTCAGCTACTGCACCTACTACACCTACTACACTTACTACAGCTACTACAGCTACTACAGCTACTACAGCTACTGCACCTACTACACCTACTACACTTACTACAGCTACTACACCCACTACAGCTACGACAGCTACTGCACCTACTACACCTACTACACTTACTACAGCTACTACAGCTACGATGAGCGACACTTTCAACGAAAATGTTCCTGCCCCAATCTCGGAAGAATCATGGCTTCACCATTTCAAATCTCTGCATTCTATCGACCCGACGAATTCCACGCATGAATATGAAATCCATAGGGAACTAAATTCTTTAGAACACGAAAAGGAACGGTTTAACCATCTCGATTATGAGATAACTGAGAGGGAAATACGTCAAGCGGCGAAGAAATTGAAAAATAAGAAATCACCATTTGTTGACAAAATACGAAATGAAATGATCAAAGCAAGCCTCGAACCACTAATGCCTGTCTATGTCAAACTTTTTTAACCTCATTTTACAATCCGGAAAAATGTCAGATGTTTGGTGTCAAGGTCTTATAGCCCCAATTTACGAGTCTGGTGACAAGAGTGACCCAACAAATTACAGAGGCATATGTGATTCTATTTGCCTTGGAAAACTGTTCTGCTCTATCTTAAATCGAAGACTTCACTTGTACTTTGAGGAAAATAAGACATTACATAATTCCAAAATTGTCTTTTTGCCTGAAAATCGCACTGCAGACCATGTTTTCACTCTAAGGACCCTAATAGATAAATATGTGCATTATCACAAGGAAAAAAGTCTACGCTTGTTTCGTAGATTTCCGCAAAGCGTTTGACTCTGTTTGGCACGAAGGATTGTTTTATAAGCTGCTAAAACGAATATAGGAGGAAACTTGTACAACCTCATGAAAAGTCTTTATTGCAACTCGACATGTTCCATCAAAATCGGTGAAAACAAAACACAGCCTTTTTCATATTCCAGAGGTGTACGTCAAGGCTGTATTTTAAGTCCTCTTTATTTAACCTCTATTTAAACAATCTACCACTTTTATTCGAAAACACCTTATCTGACCCATTTGTTCTCCCAAATGGGAAAAAAATAAATTCACTTTTGTCCGCAGATGATTTAGTTATTCTATCAAGATCGAAAACTGGATTACAGAACTGTTTAAATGCGCTTTCTTTGTATTGTGACAAATGGAAGCTAAAAATTAATCCTAAGAAAACAAAAATATGATATTTCCAGAAACGCCCAAAAAATCTATTGACATCAAATTCAACATAGGCAGTGAGTCAATTGAAATTGTCCAAGAATACACTTATTTAGGTACACGTTTAACTCCAACGGGAAACTTTACACTTGCACTCGAACACTTAAAAGAAAAGGCCCTTCACGCGTTTTCTAGTATTCGGAAGCGGACAATTCTTAACAAACTTAATCCTAATACTGCATCCCAAATTTTTGACACCATGGTATTCCCAATCTTGAGTTACAACAGCGAGGTATGGGGAATGTACACCAAGCAAGATTTTAAAAAAAGGGATAGCTCCCCAATAGAAAAAATCCACCTCAAATTCTGTAAACGTTACTTAGAGGTTAACAATAAGGCCTCTAACATAGCCTGCAGAGCTGAACTTGATAGACTGCCGCTGCTTATCCCGATAAATCAGAAAATTATGAAATATTTTGTTTACCTCAACAACAAAGATAATGACTCTATAGTCAAACAGTCTTTCCTTATGTCAAAGAATCTACATTCTATGAATAATTCCGGATATTTTTCCAATTTCATAAACATGCTTGAACAATACAATCTAACCAGTTTAGATGCTGAATCTCTAGATAATAATAAAATTAGACGATATACCACAGAAATGAGAGAGAAATATCTATCTTTTTGGCGGCACAGCCTCGAAAATTCAAAAAAACTAGAATTTTATAAAACTTTTAAAGATGAATATTCTACATCTGATTATCTCTACCAGCTAAGACATTATGACGAACGACAGAATTTTGTTAAATTTAAAATAAGTAATCACAAACTTATGATTGAACATGGTCGATACCAAATCGATCATTTGCCAAGAGAAAATAGATTATGTCCTTTATGTAACTCAAATCAGGTAGAAGATGAGATTCATTTCCTCTTTCAATGTAACAAATACTCAGTACAGAGACAGGCATTTATTAATCAAATCAATCGAATAATACCTGACTTTGACAAGAAATCATCTCCGGAAAGCATAAAACTGATAATGAATTCGAAGGAACATCATGTAAATAAGTTAGTTATGAAGTTTGTCTCCTCCTGCATGAAAATACGTGATTCATTGTTAGTAATGTAACCGAATTTTTCTAGATTGTTATTAGTGCTGTTTTGTTTTTATTTTGATTGTCATATACATGCTTTTGCAATACTGTAAAGTGATGCGGTCATGCAAATAAAGCAATTTATTACTATTACTATTGCTACTACAGCTACTACAGCTACTGCACCTACTACACCTACTACACCTACTACACTTACTACAGCTACTACACCTACTACAGCTACTACAGCTACTGCACCTACTACACCTACTACACTTACTACAGCTACTACACTTACTACAGCTACTACACCCACTACAGCTACGACAGCTACTGCACCTACTACACCTACTACACTTACTACAGCTACTACAGCTACTACAGCTACTACAGCTACTGCACCTACTACACCTACTACACTTACTACAGCTACTACACCCACTACAGCTACGACAGCTACTGCACCTACTACACCTACTACACTTACTACAGCTACTACAGCTACTACAGCTACTACAGCTACTGCACCTACTACACCTACTACACTTACTACAGCTACTACACCTACTACACCTACTACACCTACTACACTTACTACAGCTACTACACCTACTACAGCTACTACACCTACTACAGCAACTACAGCTACTGCACCTACTACACCTACTACACTCACTACAGCTACTACAGCTACTACACCTACTACAGCCACTACACCTACTACAGCTACTACACCCACTACAGCTACGACAGCTACTGCACCTACTGCACCTACTACACTTACTACAGCTACTACAGCTACTACAGCTACTACAGCTACTGCACCTACTACACCTACTACACCTACTACACTTACTACAGCTACTGCACCTACTACACCTACTACACTTACTAGAGCTACTACACCTACTACAGCAACTACAGCTACTACACCTACTACACCCACTACACCCACTACACCTGCTACACCTACTACACCTACTACACCTACTACACCTACTACACCTACTACAGCTACTGCCCGGGGGGGTACTCGCAGAAAAATTGGGTAGAGGTGTGCGGCCCGCTTCCCAAAACCCTTACCCTATTTATGACCAAAATCTGCGATTTTCCCTACCCTATTTATGACCTAACCAAAAATTTGATACCCTATTTATGACCTGACCCTTAAATCAATACCCTGTTTCAGACCTGCCTTATAATTATTTCCCTAGTTCAGACCAATGTTAAAGGCAATGTTTATCTGCTTTTATTAGGTTAGGGGGACATGATAAGGAAGTAGCTTCTTCTAAAAAAAGTGCATTCAAGACTACAGTGCAAAAATCGTTACCCTATTTATGACCAAAATGGCGGCAAAATAGCCAAAATCGATACCCAATTTATGACCAAAACGGCTGAAAAACCCTACCCATTCAGCCATGAAGTACTTGCCGTTGTGTGTAGCAGACTATTTGATAAGTTACCATACATAGAGTACCTAGTGGAAATTCGCAAGCATTCGCAGGCTCAGAAGCAGTACGAAACTACGAAAACAAGCTACGAAAACACAAACGACGATGAGACGGTGGAAGTGTCTTTGCGACGGGATTTTACCTTTTTACCTGATGTCGGAAGGTTTTAATCAATATCATATGCAACAAAAGGATTAAAAGCTTTCAGTGTCGTTTCAATTAGGCGGCTGCCTTTCCACGGGAAGAGCAAGCAACTTTTGAGCAACTCTCTGCAGCAGGTACGTAAGAAAAATCGCTTCCGTTCATAAGATGTCTGCGGGTTTCGGTTTAGAAGTTTCATTAAATCACGAACAATACGGCGAAGGATTTGACAGCAAAAAATTGACAAGTTAAGGTAGCTTGGTCTTGACAGCGTCAATATCAACAGAATAACTTTAAAGATCCGGTATGATCAACAAGACGGTGTAACTATGAATCATTTGGACTTTAAACTTTATTACCTTTCTTAGTTGCTACAAACAGGGATGTCATTAACAAGAAGACGCCCGAAGGCGTTAACGCGGGATGTGTGGGTTTGAGAAAGAATTATGTTGGATGGCAATGGAAAGTTGAGTAGTGTATGCAACAAATGTCAGAAATGTGTGTTCTGGAGAAAACACTAGGATGATGTTCTTTTAAAACAAAACTAAAACACTATATGAAGATGATAGTTCACTAAAATTTGGTTCCTTTACTAACGTCAAAACAAAACTTACATCAATAACAACGCCGCTGAACATTTCATGTTTTTAAATGGAAAAGCTGGGGTGCGGGGCCTTGGGGTCAAAAATAAATCGGAGCTGTAAGTTAATTAATTCAAATTTTTTTCTAAAACATTTTTGATTTAGGTTGAAAAAATCACAAAACATCCTAAGCGCTGTTGTCATATGAAGATTGACTGAGATCCCATGGATTTCATGTTTTTTCCAGGGGTCAAAAATGTTTCTTTTTTATTGATTTAGGTTGAAAAGAAAATTAAGCTTATTAAGATTGACTGAGATCCCATGGAGCTTTCCAGGAAAACTGTTATTGATTTCAACTTTTGCTGGGTATGTGCCGCTTATTTAACTTTGCTGGGTATGCCTCTCAGAGCCCCTACCCCATCATAGTCTTTTCTGTGGCCAATTGTAGACCCCATATTAGTCACTCTTGGGCAAATATGTAATTTTTGCGATCTCAAATTAGTCACTTTCTATTTATGTATCTACCTTATCAATCCTTTAAATAGGTCATCAAGAAATGAATTGACCTATTTTTTTAATAAATTGAATGAAGAACACTTTACTTTTCACCTACAGTACAAATATCCTGATAGGTTTGCTAACCGTAAATATGAACAGCTCTCTTACCCCAAAAATCCGAAAATGTGCGACCCCATTCTAGTAACTCTTTTGAAAATGCAACTCTATTAATAGTCAATCTAGTCGTGAAAATGCGACCCCATCCAGCGGCACATCCCCATTAGCCTCTTTATAAGGAAGTGCCCCCCTCCCCCGCCCGGGCCGCCCGAAAACTATTATCTCTTTTGAATAGATTATTTTGTTGTAAAGTCGTCCTTTAAGCGCAAAAAGGAAGTATTTTCTTTCTATATTACTGGCGAAATGTTCAGGATAAATGTAGATTCGGTTAGCTTTTGCGTATTTATTTTTAGTACGTGACACGTATTAAATGCCTTGTCACGACACGAAAGACAATGAGGGATTTATACCCGATTCTAGAACAATCACAATTATAATAGTCGTCTCTTCTTTTTTTATGCAGTACCGTACTTCACGCCTGTCAGAGCAAAAGCAACAATTTGTTTTGAGAAACTAACTAATGAACGATCCTAATTTGAAGAAAAAATTTCAATGTTATTATGAAAAGCTATTACTATCGAAAACTGTGCAGCTTGTCACGTTCATAGTCAAGGATTATGTTACATTTGAATTCACGTGAAACCACCTTTGAACATCAACGCGTGCCCACTGCTCGATTTAACAACATTTTCCTAAAGCTTTTTGATAGACATGCTACTTATTGCTACTTACAAGTCGACCTCAAGAGTTTCTTAGCCAGCGAAGCGTTCTTTTTAGGCCGCGAAGCCACCGAGAGAGCTACGATTTTGCAAGTAATAAATTCTAGACATTCTTAGCTTTTTGACTGTAACTCAACAGAAACAAGAAACCAACACCAGCAAGTCGCCCGGCTGGGCCACATAGACAATATTATCAGTCGCCCGAGGCCAAGTCTTGCACCGCATTAAGAGCATGGCCTTGCGTCTTCGTCCTCCTCTACACAGTAAACTTACTTTTCCCTCCTTTGCTGACACAGTATCTTTTTTCGGCTTTTGCAATCCAGCCTGACTTGCACGTGCTTCAACGTTGCGGCCAATGAACATCCACATAATTTTTCGGGACGGGCTCGGGATACGGGAAAGTTAAAAAAACAAGGCAATTTTTGACTCCCAAGACGACGAAAGGAATGCGCTACCGAATTTTAGACGCTGGCTGACTACGTCATCTACGTAATGAAATAATCCTCGGAAAAATTTATGTGTTGTGACACTCTGTAGAGTTTGTTAAATTCTCCATCCATATGTAACACTAATATTTGAATGTGATAGTTTTTTGGGAGGTTGTGCCCTTTAATAATTACTATACTCTGGTTCGAGAACGTCAATTCCTTGATGAGTGACGTAACTTGTGACAAGAATGAGTCACCCTTTTCTCAATTTTTCTTAATAAACTTGAAACTTGAACTTGAAACTCACCCTTCTAACAATAGCTACAACTCCAGAACTCTCTGTTGTGTTCATACCTCTGAGTGATCTGCACCAAGTTTAGAACTTTAAGGTCCTTAAGAATTTTTGGATTATTAATTTTTGTTTCAAGTATTTGAATGGTGTGCCTGTAAACTATCTGGATATACTACAATTAGGTACACTTACCACTATAAACAAACCTTTAACTTTTATCTGTAAATTGATTGCTTTTTACAGGTATGCAACAGCCACAGTTGTGTCTTGTGCCTCTGTTGTGAATGTTAATTTTTCTTCTTTTTAGCCAGATCATGGAACAAAAGGATTTACAGTGTAGCTGCTGCTTTGACTTGATGGTAGAACCCACAACTCTCAACTGTGGACATAGCTTTTGTCGCTTCTGCCTGGCAAAGTGGTGGGATACATCAAAACGTGCCACATGCCCTGATTGTCGGCAGCCTTGGGTGGGCTTCCCTAAAGTCAACATTGTATTAAGGTAATTAGAGTGTGTTGAATGAAAGAGAGAATTCTTTGCTATTGATTGGCTAGAAAATACGTTGTAGCAGCAAAAGAAGGAATTTTATAGCAGTAAGGCCTGGTTTAGACGGCGATCTTTTCAAGTGCCAAACCTAAATAGAATTAAGGCCAACCCAAATTATTTAGAGCGATCTTTTCAAGTGCCAAACCTAAATAGAATCAAGGCCAAGCCAAATTATTTAGACCGGCTGAATTGGACGCCGATCTTAATTGCAGCTGGACTAAGTTCAAAGTCAAAAAATGCTAATTTCCGTCAAACTGCATACAAAATACACTTAGGCATTAGGTTTGGTACATGAAAAGTTTGGCGTCTGAATCAAAGACGTTCCAAAGTCGCTCCAAAGGCGAAATTCCCGGCCGGGCTAGGCGAAAAGAACGGCTGAGCCATTCCACATTGAAACAAGTGTTCCTAATAATTGATTCAGACGCCAAACTTTTCATGTACTTAATTCAGTGTATTAAGTTCGGCTCTTGAAAAGTTTGGCATTTGAACCTGGCCTAAGTTCCCTGGGGCTCTCCCATCTACCTTATGAACCTTGCAGTGACTTTGTCTTTAAATACAGCTGTAATATCCCATCCCATTTAGCTATCCTTAGGCCTCTAAGGATGTTTTGGTACTTACAGATACTCAGTGATCCTTTTACATCCAAAATGGAGAAGAAAACCACCGTTTAGGTCAGCAGTCAGCAACTGAGATTAGTAAGCGTGGTATTAAGTGTAACTCAGCCACATTTCTGCAATGCCCAGTGAATGGGGAATTTTTTCAAAGAAAAAAATTAAACTAGCACAGTAAATATACCAGCCATTGAGAAGATCACTGTCTTCTTGTAATCAAAACATAGATTACTATTGTAAATCCTCAAGTAGAAGCCGCACCTGCTTGCAGAAATTTTTAATTTTTTTTATGCCTGTAACTTTTATTGATTTGCAAGTTTTCCTCAAATAATTTGAGGAAATGCCTTACTGATAATAAATGATTAATTAATTTTGTTTTACCTCTTTCCTTGGCAAACAGAAAGACCATCAAAGTGTTGTTTCCAGAAGAAGCTGAAGAGCGCCAGAACTTTCAGGAACTTTTTCTGGACTACAAATCTGTGATCGCCAAATTTGAATCACTGAATATCAAACATCAGAGGCAATCCAGTGTCAGCGAAGGAGCGCAACTTGTGCAACATCAACATGTTAACTTCAATGTATCAAAGATCATATTTGTCATTATGTCTATTCTTGGAATTGCCATTGTAAGTAAAGCATCAAGTGTTGTAAGTCACATTTGGGATTTAAAAAGATTCTGGTATCAAGTGGTTTATCTTGTCCACCAGATCTGGGGGAAAAATGATTGCAAGAGGAAGTTCTTCTTTGATGAGTATCTTCTGATTTTTAGTGCAATTATTTCAAGTGGTGCGCCTTGCAAATGCGAGGTTTATAGTCTCGTCATGCACAAAGCACGTGCAGCATGGGTGACTCTCACAAGGATCGCAAGGCAAGCGTGATCGTCTCTTTGCTATAAATCTATCGCGTTTGGTTGGTGTCCTCTTTGACATCATCGCATTGTTGTTTTCCAGACAATCAATTGGCTTGCTTTGCGCAGAGTCTTGTGTTTTGCTTTAGTCATATTTCTATTGGGCTGGCTTTTTTAGCACCACTTTTAGGAGTCAATAAGTGCTTTTTACAATGAATTTCTAAAACAAAAGTACTTTTAAGAGAAAATGGAAGCTATATGGATCATTAGCCTTAAGATATGAACAAAAATCGAGGTAAGAAAACACATGTTTTGCTCACATACAAGTGTATACCGTATTGGCTGTGCTGGGCATCTTTTTTTTGAATGCGCTGAAATGCATTTAAGTTTGGTTATTTAGGTCCTTAGAAAAACTAGTCATTCTCCTGAAAAATAGCTTTGAATTTGTGTTTAATAGGGCTTGATCAGCTTAAACAAGGCGTGCTGGCAGAAGTTATAGGGGAAAGGCTTTAAATAGAATATTATCATCTCATTCATGGTACATGTATGTTCCCATGTGGCGTAGTGGTAGTGATGTGGCCCGGCACATAGGAGATCCTAAGTTTGATTCCGGACAGAAGAGCGGTTTTTTTTCTTCATGCCATTCCTCCAGATTCGCTCTGTGAGGTCCTGTGATTCATGAATTTCTAGTAGAACTATTTATTTTTAGAACAGTTACTATTTTAGTACTATGGAACCTCTCTGCAATGGTGACCTTGTAGAAAGAACTTATAACAAGGGTGAATGTTAAATGAAAAATTAGCCATTGTTTACTGACATGGCTTGTATAAAGAGGTGGGCATTGCATTGGCCTCACAAGAGTTACATTGGACCTTGATTCCTGCTAAATTCACAGTGGAAATCACTCTTGTTTACTGACGAATATGAATGATTATGACTAATGGTTATGTATTGCTCCAAGCTGTGACTGTTTGATCACCATGCTGACTAGAAAAAAAAACTTGATGACCAGCTGTGTTTGGTAGCAATGTGGCCAAGCTGCAATGTTTTTAACAGTTAGTAGTTATGGCCTTATAGTTAAAGCGAGATAAACATTGACATGAAGTAATTATGTATGCTCCAGTATTTTATACTTTCTTGATTTGCCTGTTTCATCTTGTTGTCCAGCTTTTAAGCATTGAGATGTTACTGTGCATCTCCAAAACATTTGGTAACCATTTTAATTCTTTTAACTTGCATAATATCGCTGAAATTGTCCGGTTTTTTTGGCAAGCAATGTATTTAATGTCTGGTCATCACATTTAATTTTATGTTGCTAACAGGGGACTAAAAAAAAAGTAAAGCTTGAGCATGTTGGTGTTGACGACGTTGTCTAGTCTCTCGAATTATTTAACTGGAATCAAGGTTAAATTAAATGTAACTCCTGTTTATTGTGGACATTGTAGAGAGGACGGCAGTTACAGGTGTAGTAGAACAGGGGCGGATCTAGGGGGAGGGTGCAGGGGGTGCCCCCCCTCCCCCTCTGAGATGACCTGCGGTTTTTTAATACGACTGGTATTCTGCAAAAAAAAAAAAACTATGTGGTTTATTGGTGTTGAAGTAGAGCAAGAGATGAGTGCACCCCCTCCTAAAAAAAATCCTGGATCTGCACCTGTAGAGGTTCAACTGTTGTACCTGTAGCTGTCCTGTATGTAAGTACAATGCAGTATTTGAATTATCATGATACTAAATTGCAGTAGTCATAATGACCTCAGAGGTACGTTACCCCCTATTTCCTTTTCATTGCAGCAGTAATATTTATGGTAGTTAAAAATGTTTTTACTAATTGCCTCAGTGGTTTAAAAAGACTCAACATTAGTTTTTAAAGATATGATACTGGTCATGGAAAGTTTAGGGTAATGGCAAAAATATTTGCCAGTATTCTATGTTTGATTTATGAGACTGATTGTTCAATTTTTTTCATCCTCTTTAGTTTACCTATTCAGTGCTGAACCTGTTTGTTGGAAACAAGGAATCACTTGTTAGAAAGTCAGTACTAAGATGGGGCACCACAGATGTTGTCAAGTGGGTGAGAAGTTTAGGATCATGGGCTCAGGGATATGATGAAAAATTCCTGACTGCTGGAATTGATGGAAATCTTTTGCTTTCACTGTCAGAGTATGACCTTGAACATTCACCTCTTAACATGAAACCTTCCTACCACAGAAGAGCTTTCCTCAAGGAGATTGAAAATTTGCGAACACTGGGTGTAAAATCCCCAACAGATGTCTGGGAATACAAGGTGAGTTGTCACGTGAGATGTAATAACGGTACTAACGGGGGGTGGGGGGGTTCACGGGTACCCCAGGACCCCCCCTAGCTACGCCCCTGTTGCCATTTCTCGTGAAAGAGGCATAAGAACTGTTAAACTTGAATATTAGTCCTTTCATTTATTGAGCTATTTTGAAAAAATAGCTCATATGTCAGTGGTGTGAGCGTATGTATCTTTGTGGCTTTGTATCTTTGTAACTTTGTAACTTTGTAACTTTGTATCTTTGTATCTTTGTAACTTTGTATGTTCGGATGTTTGTTGCAAGAGCCAATAAGGTTGAAGGTACTATGAGTTGATGCTAAGGAACCAATGAGATCTTGGCATCTACTTAAAAATCACATTGCTAAAGGTCGAACAAGGGCACTTTAAGACCGCCATCTTGATTCTTTACAATTTGTTCGTCTTTTATTACGGCTACAGGTGTTTGGAAACATTATATTAAATATCTTCATGATTCAAACGCTGTGTACAGTGATGCAGCTGTTTAAGGGTTCATATTTTAGTGTGGATGCTACTTCAAGACATTTCTGACCGAATTTAAGCTATCGCGAAACGGTACCACGCACGTATTTATGAGTTGTGTTTCACCTGCTTCAAGGTAGAGTATAAACGATCATATATTTTCAAAGCTCTTCCAGTGAAGCAATAATTGATATTTAGATATGGACTTTAATTCGAAAGTATTCGGCCTATAAAATGTGGTTTTAGAAGTTTGAAAAGCAGCTTATTTTTTTAAAAGCTGTACCGAGTATTGTTAATCCTGTAAACAAGCTGTAGAAATATTATTCTCTCGCTTACAAAGTTCAACAGACCTTTTTCGTTCCGGCAAAACAAAAACAAAAAGGAATAATAAGTGAACAACATGATACATCCTTCCTGCATTATGAAAACTATGAAAACTATGAAAACTATGAAAACTACTGGGTGACCAGTAATCAATGTCTTTACCCTCGTTAAATAAAGTTATTACTTACTTACTTACTTACATACTAAGTGAAACATAATTTAATTGCAGATGTTGTAATAAGGCCGAGGTGATTTCTTAAAATCGCTTGAGAAAATTTTGTAGTAAACAATTTGCGTTTTTTTAAAGTACGAATTGTAAAAGGGCCAAAGACCAACATCTTCACATGCAAATCGTGTGCATGAGTTATTTTTATAATTCTGTTTACTCGATTACTGTGTGATAACTCGAATTCCCTCACGTACGAACCACGGAAGGGGGCAAAGTCCAACACTTTCACGTGCCATCTGTGTGACTGTACATCTCATGCAGATTGGCTTTTCACAATAGTAATAGTGACTTGAACGTATAAAGACCTGTTTCGTTTAGTAACCAATGCCCTAAAAAAGGCTCTTGTCTTTTAAGAAGCAATAGCTTTTAAAACATGAAGAAATAAGTTGTCGAAGTTAAAGACTGTCTCACAAATGTTAATAAATGTTAGGTTATCAACCTTGACGTTGCATGAAACATAATTTAATTGCGGATGTTGTAATGAAGCCGAGGTGATTTCTTAAAATCGCTTGAGAAAATTTTGTAGTAAACAATTTGCCTTTTTTTTAACGTCATTTAATTGTAAAAGGGCCAAAGACCAACATCTTCACGTGCAAATTGTGTGCAAGAGTTATTTTTATAATTCTGTTTACTAGTTTATTGTGTGATAACTCGAATTCCCTCACGCACGAACCACGAAAGGGGACAAAGTCCAACACTTTCACGTGCCAGCTGTGTGACTGTACATCTCATGCAGATTGGCTTTTCACAATGATAAATAGTAACTTGAACGTATGAAGACCTGTTTCGTTTTGTAACCAATGCCTTAAAAAAGGCTCTTGCCTTTTAAGAAGCAATAGCTTTTAAAACATGAAGAAATAAGTTGTTGGAGTTAAAGACTGTTTCACTGAGTAGAATCGCACGTGAAAACCTCGTGAATTGTGATGACGCAACCATCTACCTCAATGATAAAAATCCTGGTATTTCGTAACTATTCAGTATTCGATGAGTCACATTTTGGCTTAAGAAACTCCGAGGAAACCTTAGAGTTTTCCTTCTAATCAACGTTTGGTGAGTAGAAATTTATTTAACTTTAGCAATTTGTTTAACTTGCACCAGATGTAACTGGGAAAGACAGAGGAAAGTGAATACATAGGTTGAGGATTGACTCAGCTGAGCGTTTCGCGTTTTCATTTATGTAGCGCAATACCCAATTTCGCACAAAAACCAAATCTACATTTAGGATGAAAAAGGTAGATTCATCACTCTTGGTAAGGTTACACCGAAGTATTATAGTTACACTGAAGCATTCAAAATAGCTCATGCACGTTCAACGTGCCTATGTTTTTTTTTTGGAGATGAGCACATTTTGAAAATTGAATGAAACTCTTGTCTCATTATCTCCTGGTACTTCTTTTGTAATTTGTTAACGTTTTTTTGATTTGCACCTCTTTTAGAAAAGAAAATATAATAGCGTCTGATTGACTGTTCTTAATAATTTTAGGCTGCTCATCCTGTCCTTTCAATATTTCTTTTGTGGGGTCTGCGTGAATTTCCAAGGTTAACAGTGGCATCCATGTTCTTTGCTTATGATGAGGAAGTGTTTCAGCCCCTTTTGTACTACACAAGTGAGGTTGATTTGGAGGAAAATATAAATGAGGTAAGAAATAAGCTACAAACTTGGAATATTGTTACAGCAACAAGGACAGCAAAAAAGAGCATCAAAATGAGGTTGAGAAAAGAACTTTATTACCTTACCACATTCAGACCCCGACCACCCTTAATGGCTTGCATAAAATATGTACCGGTATACTGTTATGGTCAGTTACAAAATTGATGCCTAATTTGTGAAGTGGAAAGAGATCTTTCAAACCATACCCAAATGAGCTATTGTAGGTTTAGTGAAAAAGGTCGAAAACAAAGCACAAAATCATCATGTAACTATAACTTACAATATTTTGTACCCACCTGTACAGTACTTCCTTCAAAATAATAGAAATATTTGGGAATCCTTTGAGTTTCCTCAAAATCTTTTCCCAGTAAATTGAAGCCTAGTAAATACCCACCAAAAGAAAAAAAGGGAAAAGAAAAAGGAAAGAAGTGGGGAGGCTTGATTTCCGCCATCTCCTGACTCCGTTCTTTGATCCTCCCTGAAGAGAGACAGCTGGAAACCCTGAGTGGCGGATTGTGTTGGTATTATAAATTCAAAATTTGATTTATGTGCCGCTGCAAAACAAAAAAAACGAAAAATGTCATCAGGCACTGAACACATCTTGTTCTTTTTGCCTCATTGTCACAGTCTTCATCAATAAACTCTTCAGCGACAGCTACTTAGGTTTGTAAGTTTAATACACTCCAAAACTCAATTGCACACCACATCTAAGCATCCTTGGCATCCACCATTTTGAAAACTGCTCTACAAAAAATAATTCATGCTGCCAGACCGATATGGTCTGTAGGCAACAATCTGATTGGTGGAAATTGACATTAGCAGACTCATGAGTCCAGCTGTCTTTTCGGGGGAGGATCGTGGACTCATTGCTTGAATGGCAGCTAATAATCAGGCCTAAAATCAAGGGGGGGGGGGTGAAACTTTTGTCCAAAGGCTATCACGGCATTTTACCTCCATGCATGTCCAAGCCTGAATAGTGTAATAATTTATTAAAAGTGTAATATTTTTTTGTCAGGTTGCCCTACCTTCAGAGGAATATTTGCGATTTGGCCTTCGTCTGCTCCTGGTTCCATATTACCTGATTGCCAGGTTTACAATTAAATGTTTCTACCTCAATTACTGGGTTGGTTGTGTTGTCCTAGCTTACTGTGTCTTAATGACTCTGGTGGAGTTTTCCAAACTTAAATGGCTTCTATTTATGGGAGGTTGGAGGTAAGTTAACGACATTCTTGATCTAATATATCAAGCATGAGATGCAGACTGTGTCTCATCATCAGATGAAACACTGAGAAGAGAGTTGAAAATCAACACACAGTGGAGCATTTTTGACGAACTTCGAGTCAAATGCTTGATATTACTTCTCAAACAAAAAGATTTTAGAAGGAGAAATTAAGGAGGCAAAAATGAGCAGTTTTTTATCTGATTTCCAAACACTCATTAAACTTTAATTTCCTTAGCCTGAGAAAACAACCAACATTTGGCGACGTTACCACTGGTTTCCCCACCAAATGACGTCTGAGAAACAAGCGCAGAAATTCCATACTGATGATACATCACTACACAGATCTGTGTAGTGCTTCTGATTGGTTGAATCAAATTTCCCACGTGGCACGACTAATCGGAAGCACTACCAAGATCTGGGTAGTGACACTTCATCAGTATGGAATTTCTGCGTTCATTTCTCAGATGTCATTTGGCGGGGAAACCAGTGGTAGCGTCACCAAATGTCGGCTGTTTTCTCAAGCTATAATTTCCTTTGTATTTTCATTATTATTGTTGCTTTCATCCTTGAGAGTTTTCGAATGCAGTTACTGCACAGCCAATGGTGTTTGGAACTGAAACAAGGGAATTAATTGAACTGAATGAATTTCCCAGTGGTCGTCATTATTAATTAAAAGAAAAAGTTAGTTATGAATTTGAAATTTGGGATGATCAATATTGTCACTTTAAATCATAAAATATGGTAAACCCAGTTATAAATACAGACACTGACAGGACATGCCATAGTGTCCGTATTAACCAGCATCCAGTAACCTGTTCAAAAGGTGGATAACACTATACACCAGATAAATCACTATCCACTGGATAGCGCAATTGGTTTCCCTAACAGTCTTATCCATTGGATAGTGATTTATCCAATAGATACTTTTGAACAACCTGGGCCTGGTGTCCATATTAAGGGGGCTCTCAGAAGAGATGTCACGGACACATGTTTTATTGACATCAAGACGAAAGTACACATGTACACATTTTCATGCAAGAAAACTTTGTTTAATTTCGTAACTGTAACTTAACTCTGTAATGAGTTCATTGATCTTAAAGAAACCTGATAATCTTTTATCAGAGTATTGGCCTGGGCTAAACTTTCCTTTTAAGTCAGTGCTCTTCAACCCAAAGACTGTTTCTTATGAACATTATGGACTTACGACCTGCCTGCATAGTGTTTGAGTTTCTATGGAAACTGTAAACAAAATTTAGGGAACCTAATTCTGGTTGCAGGTTTCAAAATCTCAGCCAAGATTACATTCAGGAAACGTGACCAGTCACCTTTTTTGTACTGAAAGTTCTTGTATGGTCAAAAAATGTTTCTCTTTTGTTGCTCTTTGTTCAGGCAGCTACCAACTTTGTGTGCCAGCATCACTTCAACAGCGTTTATAAATGGGTTATTCCAGCTTGTCCTTTGGCAGATTTTGCCAGCTTTTTTCTGTGATATTGCATTTTACTGGATGTTGTTTCTGGCACCATATTCTGCATGGAACTCCTTCAAAGCTCGCTTGTCTGAAGATGAAGGAGGAACAAACATTACAAGAGATTTTTTGATGTGGCTTTGGAGGAATGCTAAGCTAAAGTTACGGCAATTAGGTGTTCAAAGACACTTGTAAAACTTGCAAATTAGCTGTTACTCTAGCTGAGAAAACAGCCGACTTTTCGTGATGCCACCACTGGTTTAATTTCCCCACGAAATGATGTCTAAGAGAAGAGCGCAGAAAAGTCCATACTGATGACATATCACTACCCAGATGACCTAATCAGAAGCTCTACCTGTATCTGGGTGGTGAGTGACCTGTCATCAGTATGGAATTTCTGCACTGGTTTCTCAGATGTCATTTCGCTGGGAAACCAGTGGTGGCATTGTAAAATGTTGGCTATTTTCTCAGTCTAATGTTACTGCTGTAAGTGGTGATGTACAGCTGTATACCTATATTTGAGTGTAGAGGTGTAGAAGAAGTTGGTAACACAGTCAAGGGCTTTGAGGCTGTATTGCCTAATCTGACTCAATACTTACTTGAACTGACAGTGCAGCTAATTAATGTTTTCAGCACCTAAAGCAGGCGCAGATCTAGCCTGCGTGGCAGGCACAAGAGGGGGAGGGGGGAGGGAGAAGCGCGCAAAAGTATGGAAAAGGAAAGGGAGCGCTTGCTTTAAGAGCTGGTGTTTTTGTATTCTGCCCACCAATTCCCTAACTAATCTGATAACGTCAACTGTGTATAAGTGACCAATCACAAGTAGGGGGCTTCTCAGCATGGCCCAAACTTAATTACTTTGTTTACCAGAAATTGTCAAGTCACGAGGCTGTTTTTGAAATGATATAATATTGAGCAAAATAAAACATTATACTGTTCTTGCTCCCACAGCAAACATGACAAACATAGACTACAAGCGGTCTCTCTTTTTTACTGCTCGCAGTCTGTGACCAACAATGATCAGTTTCGTGTGAATACGCAAGACCTTTGGTCTTGCCTCATCAAACATAATGGTCACAAATATTACAAGAATAATGAAAGGAGTATTATAAACAATTGTCAAAAAACTCGACAGACAGTTTTTACCAAAGCTTCAGCTCTCTCTTTACAAACCATTTAGAAGTTCATTCATGACATATAATGTTTTTGCAGAAAAGGTGCTCTTTTGAACATTGGCATTGCAGATGCCTGGCAAAAATCGCAATCATTCTTATTGCCACTTGGTGTTTGGACAAAATCGGTATACAAAACCTACTGAGCATCTCTGCCTCCAAACAAGCAATTAAAGGTGGTTCTAGTTTGGGTTTCAACCTGAAGCTGCAACATTATTGGAGTAATTTGATCTTCCAAAGCTTATGCCAGTAGAACACATTTCCTTGATGCCTGTATCATGTTTGTCTCTCAATAATACTTGCTAATAAGTTACTCATTACAGCTTAGCCAATCAGGATTGTGGATGCCAGCGTCTGCAGAAATGAACAAAATGGGGGTTCTTATAGCAGGCTTCCCTTGTCCTCTCTCCCTAACCCCCCTCCCTTTTTCCCTTCCTACCAATCTTGTACCCCTTTTGATGCCTGCTATGCAGGCCTGCTAGCACTGATCTAGGATAAATACTAACCTATTTCCCAATGAGTACTGAGGATGCAAGCTTCTTGGGGGCTGTAGGGGAGATGCTCTCCTGGGTTTTCAAGTCATTCAGGCAGGATTTTTGGACATTTGTCTAAACCATTTTCCAGATTTCAACTTGGAAAGTTTTTTTTATTATTATTAAAAATACATTTATAGTGAAAAGTCTCACCAATTTCTGTAAACGGTGGACACTGGTGTGGATCCTTGCCTGTAGAAACTGCAAGCCTTCACCTCAGGAATCAATTTTAGAGCTCAATTTGAATGTTATCTCTCCAGTCAGTCCTTTTCTGTGACGAGCAATAGCCCCTTTTCTCAGACAGCAGTGTCATTCTATTGAAAATATCACAATTCATTTCGTTTTTTATAGTCTAAAAATAAATTCCCAGTGACGTTTAACCAAAATATTCATGAAAAATTATAATTTGCCAATTAAAATAAAATCCTGAATGCATTTTGGTGACTCTAGGAAAATTCATGATGCCATAGTATAGAGGATGAATCTTTATCAACATGTGACCAATTTACATTCCACTATCATAGACTAAAATTTTGATGAAATAAAAATAAAAATATTAAAAGATCCTAAAATACTAATTTACAAGCTCATGCCATTATTAGCAGACACACGCGTGGCTGGCTTTAAGCGGCAGTCATCATATGACCAATTTGTATTTTTCACTATCATAGACTAAAATAGTAAAAATGGCGGATAATTAACAAAATACTCCAGTGTTGTTTTCAATGGAGGTGGTAGCAACTTACTGTGTGTGACACCAGATTTATAAGTTATATCATCTAAAATAGACTACATTTTCTGAAATATTAATTTTTGCATGCTTTCGTGTGGGATTTTTAGTATTATTTTATGTTAGCTTTTTAATTTTCCATTAACTACAGCACTTAAAATAATATTATACCAGTATACTTGGAACTGTTATTTTTTAAAACCAAATGTATAGTAATAAGCAATGAAATTACAGCCAATAACTAGAAGTTATGTTTCAGTCATGTTAGTCTTTCAGAGTTTGGTCATCAGCGTAACTAACTGTCCTTAGGTCTGACCATGGGGAATTGTTTACAAAACTAACTTTACTTGAAACAACAAAATCAGTTTTAATTGACTTGATTATTGTAAAACTAGCATGTGAGCATTCAGGCTCTGCCAGTAGTGTGAGGTTTATGGGAAGGCTTCATTCAGCTTGCTGGTTTTCCGTCAGTCTAGCTATAGCTCTGCAAGGGTTTTGCCTAAAACCCGGAATCTGGAATCGGGAAAAAACCAAACGGAATGCCAAATGACCCTGAAGTTTAGTGATTAGGGTTAGGAAACTGAGTGAATCAGGTTACATTTAGGGTCATTATACTGGGAAAACTGACCTGAAACTTGATTCACTCAGTGTCCTAAACCCAATCACTAAGCCTCAGAATCGTTTGGTGTTTGGTGCGGGTTTTTTCGGATTCTGGATTCCGGGTTTTAGACGGACACCTCTGTACGCAATCAATACATCACCTAGGAGGATGTTCATAGGTTTTTTAAAAATGTACTAAATTGATATCATGATATTATTGTAGAAACAAATGAGGCTCAGATTTTGATTGTTTTTTCAGTTTATTACTCTTTACCTTCAAAAACATAAAGGTATTATTAACCTCAGCAAGTTTTTTAAGCACCAACAGTGTAGTTATTTGTGTACTTGCTTTGATTGTTTGGCCCATTCCAGGCACTTTCCTTGAAGTAACCTTAATAGACTTTTATACTCTTAGCTATGAATCCTTATACAAGCCAGATACAATAAAGGCGATTTTATGAGCAATTCCCACTGTCTCCAAATCTAACTCTCTTAAATCTGATATAGAATCCACGGCAAATATATTAAGAAAGGCTTGAATGATGTGTTCTCTTTCAGTTTAAAATACAGGCGAACCTTCATGTTCCAGGGGTGTCTTGAAAACAAAGACCCCTAAGACCCCCTACCAAATGACTCAGAACTTTATTGATTTAGGGTTAGGAAACTGAGTGAAGGTCATTATAATGGGCAAACTGACCTGAACCTAACCCTAATCAATAAAGTTCAGAGTCATTTGGTAGGGAGTCTTAGGGGTCTTTCTTTTCAAGACACCCATGTACAACCGTCCCTCTTCCCTATAGTTGTAACTTCTCCTAAATGACTCAACACCCACCTTGCGCTCTCGCAAGCCACTCTGCTTTCCACTGGGGTAGAATAATCATCTCATGAAATAATGCTTTAAACAGCTTGGGACAGCAAAAAAATATGACAAAGAACCCTTTTTACAGACCCTCTATTTTCTCTTCAGAGCACTCATTGATTTTCAAAAAGAAAACAACATCTGCATACAGGAGCAGGGTAATGTCAAAGTGAACCTGTTTTGCTTGAATTTTTGTTGAAGAAATTAGGTTCACATTTGTATTTGGAGTGAATTGTAACCACTGTAATGTTCATCTGTATTTTTGCTATTGAGTACAAAAGAGCGATGATCAGATTTCAATAAAAACAAATTACGATAAGAGGGTAGACTGCCTGTGGTTTAATCAAGTAAATAGGGTGTATGAAAACTTATTCTAAACACTTTTAAATAACCTGTATCTTTATGAGCAGGATTGAAATATAGTGCAATATATGACAATATATAATACAATGAAGAAATTGTAACACAGTTAACAATAAATCATTGAACTTGTGTGTTTTTTGGAGAACAAAATAAAACTTTACAAACATTTACAAATCTTACGTAACCACCATATTGACGGAGAGTAACCACGCGAGTGAAACGCGCGCTTTGTTTCATAAATTGTGAATGTCACGCAGGAAAACTGTTATTCCCACAAAAATATATTACACTTCCTTGTCCGTTGTCCATTACAAATAACACTTCACTAGGGCTTATAGAGTTTTATTGTAGATATTTCAGATGCTGATTACTATACGCTCAATGTCGTTCGCTGGTATCTTCGAGTCCATTTCTTCTCCGCAAATGCGAAAAACAACGTCCGTATTGTAGGGAATTTTCAAAGAAGCGTAATACGTATCCCATAACCAGCCAGCTCCACCTCGCTCCAGCAAAGAGACCGAAACTTGGGGACTGTATCCAAGCAAAGCCCAAGTCATACTCAAGGCACGATTCCTCTGATGCGAAAACACTAGTGCTTCGCATTTCTGTCGATCGAGGGAAACCCCAGGGCATTCTTTGAAATCACCGTAGAGTTGCTTTCCTCCGTTTAATTGTATCACATCCCAAGTGCTTGTCGAGGAAAGCACAGCTTTAATCTGGCTTAACTGCGAGTAGGACAGCCTGCCTGAAGCCCAAGAAGGAACAATAGCGTCTTGCAAACTTTCTAAGTAGCCCCGGCTAAAGCTTTGAATGAATTTGTCATGGTCACCCGGTTTTACAACCGCGGGATCGTTCGAAATTGTATCGTCCAGTTCAACGTTTGAGTTGCAGAATACAACTCGAGTACGAAATAACTTCTCTGCAACGAAAATATCTTGCCTGCTTAGATGATCTCTAAGCAAACGGGCTTTGTTTTGAGTCTCTGTAACACTATTTTCGTGTTCAATGTGGTTGGTCGAAAAGGAGGTAGTCGAGACCTGTCGTGTTTTTGTCTGTATCCACTTTGATTTATCATCGCTGCACGTTACAGAACCACTCCAACATTTCACCTCGATGCAAAAGATCCCATCACCATTGACCACAACGACATCAATCTCTCTCTTCCTAGCTTTATACTTGTCTGGAATTCTCAGGCAACAAAACAGCGAAGTTTTGTCAAGTCCACTTTTCAGGCGCAAAGAAGATGCTAACGAGATTTCAGCATTTCGACCGGCTTTGACATGCTCTTCTTCCAGATGTTCCTGTGGATTTGCCGCCTGGCTAGCCTGCTGTATACGTTTTGTGATCTCGAACATTTTTGGATTCAGGAACAATACATTTGCTTTTATAAAAGAAAGCTGGTTGCAGTACTTTTTTTTTTTTCTCCTAAACAAATGACGCAACGCGTGTTTACAATGAGCTTGCAAAGTACTCTGGGAAACCATAACCCAACCTCCCCGCCGATCCATGCATATGCTTTGATTCATAACTTTGCAGATTACTATTTGCGGTGATTGGAGGTGAGTCAATCTGTTATTTCCTTCCCCTAACGTTGAAGTTTTGTAAACAATTATTGTCGCAGAAGAACGCTCTTTTTCCTGGACCAAACTCTCTCACACCGAGCCCCAAATGTCAACCCCCTGCCAGCGGTTATAAACTTTTCTCTTGTTCATTCAAGAACTGAACATCCAGTGTCTAAAGCAGTCTTTCGAAAAAAGTTCTGAAGCTGTGGACTATTTTGGCACTGAGGGCGCTTTCCATTTGTCAGAAATGGCCGGCTAGACCATTGCTGGACCAGTCAGTTAGCAAATGAAATCGGTTTCTTCCAAAGGGTATTTGCTGAAAAACCAGAGCTGAAATCGATCTTCTTCGTGCATACTATCTTAACTGTAGGATTTGGCTGATCTGGCTGGATAGTTTTTATTAAAAGTGAAATTCTCATTTCTACGGGAATGGTCTGGCCGGTCAGTTCTGACAAAATAATAGAAAGTGCCCTTGTACTGGCCCTCCCCCGGAATGATCCTGGGCTCGGATCCCAGGGGTAGGTGCGGGAGTAGTGGGGGATAGGGACATGTACTTAGGAAGCCCTGCCCAGAGGTCCAACCCTTTTATGTACCATTTTTGACGGAATACCTGTTTTGACACAGGCAGACATCAAAGTCAAAATGATACAGGTGCCTCTTTTAAAATATTATACCGGTATATAGGTCTTTTTAAAATGGCAGATTTTCCTAGAACTTCAACTTTTAAATTCCAACCCTTTTATGTACCTGAAACCTGTACCTATCTGTTCTCCCAGGTTTGGGAATTTATGGTACACAATTAAACAGGGTCAATTTTACCAAATCTCTTGGCGTATTAATTGATGAAAATTTAACATGGAGTAATATATCATATCAAGGCAATATCAAAAAAAAATTCTTCTGCCATTGGATCTATTAAAAACGAATTAGCCACTGTTCCTCCTACAACCCTGCACAATATCTATCACAGGTTAGCTCAATCCTGCATCAACTATTGTAGTGTTGTTTGGCGTTGAAAAATTACAGAGACTTCAAAATCAGGCAGCCCGTATCCTTACTCAATCCAGTTATGATGCTGTAGCCACCAACTAATTAAAAAAAAAGGCTAGGATTATTTAGGAACTTGACGTCAAAAACTAAAGGCTGAGATGGTCTATAAATCTTTAAATGGCCTCACACCCTGACCCAGGTATTTGTCCTCTAAATTCATTCCGTGGAGTGATCTGATTACTTTTTACAATTTGCATAATTCTGAGAATAAGCTTGCTATTGGACCCTTGCCACATACTAACTCTTACAAAAATAGCTTTAGCTACAGTGGTACAGTCCTCTGGTAAAGTCTGCCTTCAGCTGTCAGGCAAGAAACATCTCTAACTAACTTTTGACAATTATAAATTAATTCCAACACAGCATTCATAAAAAACAGGCTTTAATTAGTGTTTTTTCTTAGTTTTTTTCTTAATCTGAATACATAGTCTGCAGTGATTATGTTGTTTTTCCTTCTATTACATTGATGGAAATACCGTAAAATTCCGAAAATAAGCCCCTGGGCTTATATTTTTCAAAGGCCCTTTTTGAGGGGCTTGTTTTTGGAGGGGCTTATATTCGGAGGGGCTTATCTACGGAGGAAAATTTGCGTTTAAAAATCTATTGCGCTAGCCTTATAGTTGGAAGTAAATTTACTGTTTTTGCTTTGTTTTACTTTGTATTTGAGGGCAATTTTCCAAGTACAAGCCCCCGGGGGCCTATATTTGGAGGGATGATTTAACGGAGGGTTTTTTTGCGTCAACGGTTTGGGGGGGCTTATATTTGGAGGGGCTTATACATATATGGAGGGGCTTATTTTTGGAATTTTACGGTACTTAGTTTTTGATATGCCTGATGTTTGTAACTGTGTATAAATAATAATCAGTTACAAACATCAGGCATATCAAATATTACAGATGATAAAAAAAGATGATGATGATGATTTTAAAGGTATCCTTTTAGGTGGAGCTCATGGAGTACCCCCAGGCACCCTTGTCATTTTTGAAATGGAGAACCCCATGGACAAAAAGTGAAAATTCTTGACATTTGACTTTCTAGACCATTCACTTCTAATTTTCAACCCATCCCAAGGTAATTTTCAAAAAGGTCAAAACTTAGACATTTAACAGACAGTGACAGACTCTGTGGGGTGGAGGGGTACTCCCTATAATTGCTTATACATACACAGGGAGGGTACCATTTTCAGGCTTTATGTATGTGAGAGGGCTGAGATTTCATCAGTTGAAGTATATGAAAGTAGAGGGAAATCTGTCGTTTTGGTCTCAAAATAGGCCCAAAAGGGCAAACAGATCTATTTTATGGCTGTGAAAAAGGTGAGAAAGCTTTCTGGTTTTGTAATTTATTTAGACATATTTTAAAGACAGTGCATTTACAGCAG